AGAATGGATACAATTTTACAGAACAAAAATTATTAAATGTAATTTATATTTTTTGCAAGGAAAACTTGCATCTGGCAATAGAGATGCCCTTTGTATTTGAAGAACATTGCCAGCCTTGCTGAACACACTTTCAAATGGCATACTTGTTCCTGGGATAGCCAGAAACATCTTTGCACACACCTTCAACATTGGGAAGGATGTTTCGTGTGCCTTCCACCACATCAGAGAGCATTCATCAATGTCCACTCTTGGCATAGCCATATAGGAGAAAATGGACATCATAAGGAGGTGGAGGAAGAGGTTCAAACAGCAGAGCAGGGTGGTTGTTGTTGTTTTCTTTTACTCTGAAGCAACTTGAAAGCCAACAAGCATCTCAAGAATGTATTTCCCTCTTCCTTGCGATTGGGGAGGGGAGAGCTGAAGACTTGCAGAGTTAACATGGGACTGGCAGCATCCTGTGGGCCGCTTCTGCCCCAAAAGAAAGGCACACACAACAAACACTGGGTGTTTTCCCCCTTTTATTCTGAAGCAACTTGCAAGAAAAGTCTTTCCCCCATATTGTACTTGATGTGATGCCTCGTCTGCAAGCCTGGCATTCTGTCCACTATCCCGCCTTATTCTGTTCTCATTCATCACTGACTGACTGTTTAGAAGGAGTGAGAAAGAAGGGCAATAATTGGGGAAAGGGAGGGTGGGCCTGCAGATTATGACTCCTTTTGACATCCATGAACTTCTTTTGTCATGTTTTTCTGCCTGGGCACCCATCCAGGGTGTTGCTGAGCAGAACCTGCCTCCCCACAGCTCCATCAAAACCATTAGGAGGTTTTTATCCTTTTAAAGGGGCCAGAGAGAGCTTTCAAGGGCCGCTTGGCTCCCTGCCAAGCAGAGTACACATTAAATGGACCCAATTGACTTTTGGGTTCAGCAAAAGCTCCCAGTGCCGATATTTTAAGATTTCGCATTGCCAGTGTGTGGCCTGGCTTAAGGTCAGCGTTCAGCCGCCTGGCCTTAAAAGGGGCAGGTTCTCAGGAGGGGAAATGGTTTGCCAAATGTGTTTCCTTCTGAATGTTAAGCACAAAGGATCCCACCCACTGAGTCCTGTCTGCTAAAGAGGCCCTTTAGGTGGCTAATACTTTATTGTTCTGTACTGCCTGGGATGGCAACAAGGAGCAAGTGAACCCGAATTTCCTTCTTCCTGTGGCCAGGTGGCACGTTGAACATGCTACCTGCTTTCAGCTGTTGGACATTTTCATTTTCACTTGCTTGTCTTACAGGACCTTGTTGACCAGGAAGAGAAGCTTGAACTCCTAGTGGGATTTTGTAACAGAGAAGGAACATACAGGCATCATGGCTAGGGACAGCTGAGTCTGGATTTGGCCCTGGCATCTTCAAAGGAAGGGCCATAGCTCAGTGGTCCCAGGTTCAATCCCTGGCATCTTCAAATAGGACTCAGATAGGAGCCTGGCAGGTTTTTGTTTTTGTTTACTATGCAGTTAGACAGAAAAAGAGGAATTGGAAAAAGATAAGTGCAGTTCAAAATCCAGTAATGGGGAGGGGGATTAGACAAGTTAGGCATGTGTTAAGCAGTTAAATGACAGACGATAATCAGAGACAGCATATAAACAAATTAAGGGTAGAATATGCAGTTTCTATAACTGAAACAAACTGCCCAAACCATATTAAAGCATCTTTGAGGAACACTTTCCTCCTCGCCTTCATCTTCAGGCAGGTAACACTGCATGCCCTTAAGTACTGTCTCTCACTCTCACTCTCTATCTGCATCTCTGAGTTTAGTATCTGAATGAAGCTAGGTTCATAAGTGAATTGTTTTTGTTGTATAGTAGATAAGAACTACTGACCCCTATGGAGAAACCACCACTGATGCGGGGTGGAAGGAAGGAGCAAAGCACACTTAATGTTTGTTTCGCTTTCCCCTTTTTTACTGTGGAGTATCGGTCAGCGAATTTGTGCCATTGCATAATCTGCTTTTAAGAAACAGTAACCCTGGAACTCTGCCTAAAATCCTGGAGAGCCACTGTCAATCATTGTAGACAGTGCTGAGCTCGATGGACCAAGGCGCTGACTTGGTATTATAAGGCAGCTTCTTGTGTTCCCTATACTGTTCTTACCAAAGCTTTGCAGTAGAACATCTGCTTTGCGTGCATAAAATCCAAGGTTTAATGCATGGCATCTCCAGGTAGGACTGGGGGAGACCTCAGTATTGCTTACACTGACTGACAGCAACTCTCCAGGACTTAAAGACTCTCAATGTCCTCAGTTCTGCCTCAAGATGCTGAGGACTGAACCTGGAGAGCAACGGCCCTTCCCCAGCTAACTGCTCTTCTTCCCCAATCTGTGGTTAGTTGAGGTCTGAGGGGAGTTGTAGTCCAGAACATCTGCAAGGTGCCAGGTTGAGGAACCTTCTGGTCTCCTTGGCCAACACTTCCTTTTTGTTCTCCACCCAGTTGCTGGTGATTGCCCAGGGAGCGTCTGGCCTGCCTTGAGCCTGACTTTTCTGGGAGTAGGGACCGACATGACAGTCCCAAACCAGATGCTGTTTTTCTCTCTTCCCCTCTTTTCTTTCTCCTTGGTGTTGCCAGCATAGCTGCGACAGCAAAAGGCTAGCAGCTGCCTGCACAGCTGATGCCAGGGCTGGCCACTTCAGGGAACGACTGGTCACAGACCAGCCTGCTCTGCCCTAGTGGCAGTGCCAGATCCCACATGCCCTCTGTTACTCTTTGTACATGCATCACTGTTGCCAGGCTATCCAGCATGGCATGTGCAGCAGCTGCCACCTTGGCTGATGCCAGACTCACTCCAGGAATGGCTGGCCTGGCGTAACGTCTCTCTTTCAGGGGAGAAGACGGGGAGAAACTGCAGCTGATCCAAATAGAGGGCAGCCGCTCTCAGTATTGAATTTGCATCTCTGCGCATTGCAGAGTCTGGCCCCTAAATAGCACCCATCAGGAGAGCCCTGCTGGCCCAGACTTGGGCCCCAGTCTCCTGCTTCCAGCAGTGATCATCCCATTGCCTCTGCATGCAGAGTGTAAAGGCCAGAGCCTTCCCTCATTGTCTGTTCCCCATTTACTGGCATATTGCCTCTAAACATGGAAACTTGACTGGGCATATCTAGTCCATGGAGCAGAAGCCATAGAGTCCCTGACATCAACATAGAGCAGACTGGAAGGTAGTCAGGATTAGTCCCATTTTTTTCCAGATAAGGTGGAATAAAGAGAAGAGAAGTAATGCAATAGAAATGAAATGACAGTTTTGCACACATTTTGGCAACATTTCTGAATTCAAACTCCAAATATTTTGCAATGTTCACATTTTGAAATGTGACTTCAGCTACATTCAGATAGGACTTCATTCCATTTTCCTGATGTTTCATTACCTGATAATTTCCACGTTTTATGCGATCTTTCACACAATGTAATTCTAGAAAATGAGTGGAATCTAGTGGAAGTTTAGTGAAGAGAGCCCAACCTTCCAAGCACACATATTTGCTTTGTTGCTGTCAAATGGGACTTGCTTCCAAATTAATGGATTTAGGAGCATAATGTTCTATTGTCAGAGACATTATGCCTCTGGGTGCCAGTCGCTGGGAGTCGCAAGTGGGCAGAGTGCTGTTGCACTCATGTGCAGATTGTGGGCTTACCAGAGACATCTGATTGGCCACTGTGAGAACAGGATGCTGGACAAGATGAGCCATTGGCCTGATCCAGCAGAGCTCTTCTGCTGTTCTTATGTTATGGTTGATAATAATGGGTACACTGTCATTTCATGGTGTAAGTCCATTTTTACGCATGGAACTCCTTGCTTCTATGCTTCTGTAAAGCCTGCATTGTCAACAATACTCCATTACATGGAAAAGACCTCCCCTCCCTGCTCCCATCTGTTATGATAAATAGCGAGAGAGAGGTTCATAGGAAGCTGCTTTATATCTAGTCAAGACCATTGATCCATCTAGCTCAGTATTGCTCCCACTGATTTGCAGAGGCTCTCCAAGGTTCCAGACTGAGGGACATCCTGGAGATGACAAAGACTCACTCACCACTCTACCACTGAGCTAAAGCCTTTTCCGTAATCACTTCTTAGTTCAAATTTGTACCATATTCTGTGTTACAGTGTGTTAACAATTGACATCCACCCCATTCATAAAAATATAGGAAGCTGCCTTCTGATGAGTTAAGCCATTGTTCTAAGTAAGTCAGTATTGTCTACCAACAGTGGCTCTTCAGGGTTTCCAGACAGGCTTCTTTTCTAACAATACCTGGAGATGCTGGGGATTGGGTTGAAGACCTTCTGCATACAAATCAGATTTTATACAAATGAACTACAGTCCTGCCCACCCCAGGGCATACAAAGACATGCAAACACACTTGACAGCACAATCCTATGCATGTTTCATGAAAGTGAGTCCCATTGTATTCAACTAACCATTAATATTTGCACATTCCAATTGTTTTTAATCAGTGTTGAGATCCCACCTGGACCACAGGCTGCTTGTGTGACCTCAGACCAGCTGCTGTTTCTCAGCATTGGTCCTCAGTCCGTCAAATTGGAACGATGGCAGGGATGGGATGAGGATCAGCCTCATAAAGTGCTTTGCAGATGAAATAAGATGTCTGTGCATTTTGGGTTTGCAGCAGCACTTCTGTCAATCACACCAGGACTCCTGTCCGCCACGTGTGCCTTACAGGAACACGATTGCTCCTGACATGAGACCTGCAAATGGAAGTGCAGTCTTCATTAATTAATGGGAATCTGATGAGTGGGGGATTTGTCACCATCCAGGCATTGCTGGACCTATGATCCCTGACTACCGGCTGCATTGACTGGAGTCCAAAAACATCTAAAGATGTTCCACAGAACCTCCCCAGATGTTTCTTTGGTGGTGCTGACCTTTGGGTCTGTGCTGTTTGCATCCCATCCATTCCCCCTGCCCAGGGTGGACTGCAGGTGTGTAGTTGATCATGTCTTCCTTTTTCTCCACATAGCAAGAAGCCGGGTCACGAAGCAGCGGCGGAAACAGCAGCAGCAACAGGGACCGCCTGATGACTGAGGCCCCGTTACCCCAGGAGAAAGCCAGTGGCCCAACAGTCCCTTCTCACTTGCTGGGGACGCCTTATTCCTTTGGGATCCCTCCGAACTCCATCGTCCAGGACTCTCGTTTCCCACCTCTCAAGTAAGTGCCTGCTGGCTAGGGCTGATAGGAATGGTAGTCCAAAACCTCTGGAGGGCACCAGGTTGGCCAAGGCTGCACTAGAAGGACAGACCCTTCTTCTCCAAAGTGACAGTGTCTTGGGAACCAGCCTCTGCCTTGTTTGCAGGCTTGGGTTGCCTCTAGAGGTCTTCCTGACTGCAGTATTTGTAAAAGTCCTTTTTCAGCAACAACAGCTGTCATGAGCCCATGAAGATGTCTTGGTAGTGCTGGTCAGGGGAGAACAGGGTCAGGAGTTCAAAATTAGATCCTGGGGAGGGACCAAGCAATCATGGGAGATGCTGGGGAGGGTCTGAGCGGGTTGTCAGGGGAGAGTCCCCTCTCAGTGACATCAGATGCCCCAACCACCGTGGTACAGCTGCTTCACTCGTGCACCACCACCTGTCAGTGAAGCACTCCCCACCCAAGGTGTGCCAGCTCCACCTCTGTTGCCAAGGATCTGTTAATGGCTGCAGCAATGTGAACAGACCCAGCCTGCTCAGCCTTGTGGGCTGGGGAGGCAACTGTGTGAATGACTGTGCCTGTCCTGCTCTTCAAAAGGGGAGTTCAGCCATGTGTTCTAGAGTTCTGCTATGTCTTCTGAACTGTATAGCTTGTAACCTGATCTATGTTGGGGCTCTGTAGTGAGTTCTGGAATAAAGCCTTTAACAATAATTGAGCTGAGAGTCCAAGAACTGAGTCTACAGATGGGAACCAGGACACTAGCATAGCATTGTGTGTACATGTAAGTCTCTGATAGCTGGTTAGAGCATGGTGCTGATAACACCAAGGCTGCAGGCTCGATCCCCATATGGGACAGCTGCATATTCCTGCATTGCAGGGGGTTGGATTAGATACTCAGGGTCCCTCCCAACTCGATGATTCTATGTAATGGGGGTGGGGAGAGATAGTCCTGCCTGAGATGGATAGCCATGCTACTTACCCTCCCGTTTCCAAAAATGGAATCTGGCCAGAAAAAACCTGCAAAGGAATATGATTCACAAAGTGAGGAAGTGCTGTGTGTGTCAGGTATGTACATGATTGGATGTGTGTCCCACCCCCACCCCGAAACAACTGCTTTAAAATGAGAATGCAGCAGCTTTGACTGCTCAGCCTCCTAAACAGATCTTGTTCTGAAGGCAAAATGGAGAGCACTCTAGTGAACACGTGAGCACTTTATTGCTAAGCAGGGAGCTTGAAAAGTGTGGTGCCTGCCAGTGTGGCTCCTTTTCCCATATGGAGTCCACTGTTTCCCTCCTCTTTTGCCTCCGTCAGTGTGGGCTGGGCACTGATGCACACATGGGGAGACTAGATGCCCTGACCAAGGGTCTCCAGGCCCCAATGGAAGCACAAGCTCAGGAGAGACAACGTCCTCCACTTCTTTCCCTCTTTCCTTCCACTCTGCAGCCTCCCACGGCCTGTCCACCATGTGGTGCCTCCCAGCGCAGTCACAGAAGACTACCTGCGGAGCTTCCGGCCCTACCATACAGCTGAAGAGCTTCGCATGTCCTCCCTGCCTCCCATTACTCTGGATCCAGCCACAGCTGCTGCTTACTACCACCCCAGTTACCTGGCTCACCATCCTTTTCCTCACCCAGCCTTCAGGTAAGGGCCAAAGATGACGTAAGTAAAGGGCTTTGCCGGCCCCACTCTTCGCCTCGCGGGCAAGGCAGGATTTGATTGAGCAGTTTGGGCAGTTACCCAGGCGTGTTCTTTGGAGCCAACCGCTAATAGGTCTTAACAGGTCTTGCCCACAATGGAGGGCTCTCTGAGGACTTGAGCACAGCTGTAATAAAGCACAACAGGCCATCACTTAAAGCAGCAGCAGGAGTCCAGATGCTGGGCCACTAATTTGTTCTTTGAATGGGGTCCTGTTGAGCGGTTTCTGCCTCCGCCCAGCTTCTGTTATGCCCTGGTCAGCAAGACACACTGTGCCCATGGAGAACTGAGATCAAGCAATGGGCTTGGAACACAAATGCCTTTTGAGAGAGCGGGCGGGGAACCTGAGAAGCTGTCTCCAGCTTTTCTTCGGTGGCTTGCACGTTTGCCATGTTTTTTGAGGCTGCAGATTCAAAAGTGCAGCAGTTGTGTGGGAATGTGTATGGATACAGTCTGCGTATGGGCCTTACCCATTCCTGGAGAGGCCACTCTTCAGATGCCTCCATCTCTTGATGGCTAAAGACTTGGTCTGCTATGTGGGGATGCCCCAGCTCTAAGATGCCCTTGCAAGACCCTTGTGCTTGATAGCCTCCATTTATAAGTTTGGGGCAAAACGTGAAACTGGTTTTATTTTACTAGAGGACGTAATGCATTTTTACTCAGTAGCTGTACTCCCTTGTTTGATGTTCTTACTTTACTGTTCTTGGGGTTTTATTGCTAAGGTTGAAATAATTTGTGAATAAGACAGACAAAATATTTAAAATAAAAATTAGGTTGGGAGGTTTGCTCAATTTATTCTCCACCCCACCCCCAATTCTCCTCTAAGCTAAAATTTAGTTTAGATTTAGATTGGATTTCATGGTGATCAGGCTGGCAGGGTCTAGGTCACATGTAGGCAACATGTGGCCCTCAGCCCCAACACTTCTTGAAGCTTCCCAGAGTGCCTTTCTTCCTCGCTGATTTCCTCTTTTTGTTTCCTGGCTTTTGAACAGTGGTAGCTGGTGCCCATTTGGGCTGGAGGGGTGGAAGGGAGCCCAAGAGTGGGTGGAGGCAGAGCCTATTATTGGTCAGAGCCAAATAACTCTGGGTTTGTTCTCCTTTTTGCTGAGTTTGTACAAAGGAGTGCTTGAGACCAAGGTGAAGAGGCTCACTGGCAAGTAGGAAGGCAAGCAGTGGAGGAGGGCTGGGGGCAGGCTAAGGTTGATGGGGCAGGGCCCCATCTGCCCTAATGCACCAGCATCCACTGCTTTTGAAAGTGTGTTCCCCTTTTTTCTACTCTTTTTCAGAACTGGGGCTGCCTTTTACTTAATAAAAATACATTGTTTACTTCTGAATAAGATTGGGATTTCTGATCAGAGATTGCCTTGGTGAAAACTTTATTCTTTGTTCCGAATAACAATTGTCTCTGCCCATCAGCTGCTCTGGCTCCACCTACTGCCAGCATGTGGGTCCCCGACACAAGGGAATGAAGTTCTCAAAAGAAAAAAATGTGTTGGTGGTAGCCCCAAACCATAGCAACAGCTGTGGGGCCTCAGACCCAGAGCTGAAGGCACAGTCCTGCCATATACTGTATGCACCAGAGGTTGGAAGCCAGTTGTCCTACAGATGTTGTTGGACTACAGCTCCCATTACCCCTGACCATTGATTAAGCTGGCTGGGTTTGATGGGAGATGAAGCCCAGCAACATCTGAAAGGCCACAGATTCTGTGTCTCAGGTACACACCTTTTGAAGGGATCACTTGTGGTATTTGTTAACAGGATCTGCTTCGTTTATTTATTACCAACTGTGAAGTTTAGACAACACAAATTGGATTAGTCTCCAACCTATGGCTAGAGTGGCTGGGGAAACCCAGCCAGATGGGCGGGGTATAAATAATAAATTATTATAAATTATTATAGAGTGTCCTGCAAGTAATTTTGCTCTCTTCAGTCACCAAATGCATCTCTCTCGTAAACGCAAAGAAAGCTACGAGACTTTTTAGGCTAACTGCACCTCTCTTTTCAGGATGGATGACTCATACTGCCTCTCAGCTCTACGCTCACCTTTCTATCCAATTCCAACTCCTGGTTCACTTCCACCACTTCATCCATCAGCCATGCACCTCCACCTGTCTGGAGTGAGGTACCCCACCGAGTTGTCTCATTCGTCTCTCTCTGCCCTTCAGTCCGAACGCATATCCAGCCTGACAGCAGAGAGGTATGGAACCATTCCGGGGCTGTTAGAAGATCTCAGCTCCTTTGGGGACAAAATGAAAGGTCCACCCATTAGCCCTTCCTCCTATTCCTTTCTCTTGTTTTTTGCAGGCTGCAGATGGATGAGGAGCTGCGGCAGCGGGAGCGAGAGAAGGAGCGAGAACGGGAAGCTGATCGCGAGCGCGAGAGGGAACGGGAGCGAGAACGGGAGCGGGAGAAGGAGCTGGAACGGGAGCGGGAGAAAGAGAGGGAACGGGAACGGGAGCTGGAGAGGCAGCGAGAAAGAGCCCGGGAGAAAGAGCAGAGCATTGTCAAAGCCATGGAAGGCCCCTTCTTACCAGTGTCAGAGTTGCACGGACTGAGGAGTCACCCACCAGAAGAGCGTGTCAAACCATCTGAGCAGCTAACGCCAAACCGAGCAGGTGACCTGAAATAGCCACTGAAGTAGCTTTTGTTTGGGAATTGGCTGGGGGTGGGCAGGGGAAGCAGCCCATTTGCCATGGGCATTACATAGCCAGCAAACACCTGAGACTCAGCCCCTGGGCATGGGGCTTGAAGCAAACATCACCTGATTTGATTATATGTGGGCTTTGGATCTCACTGAGGTGCTGTTTCTGGTGGTTTTGTGATGGCCGCTGTAACAGTACTCATGGGATACATAGTCTGCAGTAAGTTTCCCCGCAGGATCTATCTAATGTCCTGTTGTTTTCATTGCATACACTACTTTATTAATTGTTGCACAGCTCTAGTAGCTTTGTTTGTGCTGAACGGGTTTGCCGTTCAGGTGCGGAATCTGATATGTGCTGCAGAATTTGACTATAAGAGAACGGAGGCAGGGTTTAAATCCTTCCTCACCCCTAAGGTCTGTGCAGAAACCTGTAATTTGTTACTGTTTTCTGGTAAAGCATTTCAGACGAGCTGACGGGTTTCCTGTAGTTATTCTGTCTTGTGCAGAACTCTACCCGTCATCCATGGCTGTATATGTGAGCTATTGGCCAGCGTATGACTATGGCCTTCACTCCCCCACTGCTGCAGAACATTGCATTAGGTGAACTGTAGCATGAGCCTGAGCCAAAAATTGGCACAAAGAATGTAGCTTTTTTGTCTGCATAGCCTTGTTCAACACAGGATGAACATCTTCAGGGGTCCTAGGCAAATTCTTTTGGCCAATGGAGACCCTTCCTATAGCATATACACCATATTTTTCGCCCTATAGGAAGCACTTTTTCCCCTCCAAAAATGAAGGGGAAATCTGGGTGCGTCCTATGGGGCGAATGCAGGCTTTCGCTGAAGCTTGGAGAGCGAGAGGGGTCGGTGCGCACCGACCCCTCTCACTCTCCAGGCTTCAGGAAGACATCCACAGCCTAGGCAGCCCTGCGGGAGTTCCCGCAGGGCTGTCTAGGCTGCGGATAGCAGCCTGCTTCCCGGAGCGTCGGGCGCCCTGAAAGCAGAGGTCCCGCAGGGCTGTCTAGGCTGCGGATAGCAGCCTGCTTCCCGGAGCGTCAGGCGCCCTGAAAGCAGAGCGCCCGGCGCTTCGGGAACACCTCCGCAGCCTAGGCAGCCCTGCAGGAGTTCCCCACAGGGCTCCCCACGCTGCGGATAGCAGCCTGCCGCCCGGCGGGCGGGGCACCCTGAAGCAGAGCACCCCGCGCGCCGGACAGACATCGGCCAGCCCCACAAGCTCGGGGGACAGCGGGGAGGCGCAGCGCCGCCATCCCGCTGTTGCTCGACCTGGTTCAGTTTCCCCGACCTGCTTTTGGGCGGGAAATAAGGGGGGGGAATTCCTTTATTTCTCCCCCAAAAAACTAGGTGCGTCCTATGGGACGAAAAATACGGTATATCAACCTCCATTAACATAGGCCTGGGCCATGTCTACAAGTGTGAATTCACCTGGATCTGCTGGATGTAGCTCACGTGTCCTGCCTCTTTCTGTACTGTGGGCCCTGGCATGATGCAGTGGCCTGTTGGGACACTGAGGTGCTGCTGACCTGCCACACTGTTCTTCCCTGACTAAGATCATTTGTCCCACCACAGTTGTGGACCACCATAGGCACAAATGCTACATACCCCCAAGTATCCTGCTGCCACCTCAGATAGCATTCCAAGGCTAAGGGGACCCTATTTGCATCCTGCCTTTTTCCCCTTACAGAGAAGCCCAAGGACTCTTCTGCTATCCAGACCCCCAAGCCAGTCCAGCATCCTTTGCACTTGTCGTCTGCCTCGCACCATCCCGTGCCCAGCCTCATTTCCAACCACAGCATCTTCCCCCTGCCTGGCAGCAGCACAGCCACAGCGCTCCTCATCCAGCGCACCAATGAGGAAGAGAAGTGGCTGGCGCGGCAGCGGCGGCTACGGCAGGAGAAAGAAGACCGCCAGTCCCAAGTGTCGGAGTTCCGGCAGCAAGTTCTGGAGCAGCATTTGGATATTGGGCGCCCGCCCGGCCAGATGGAGGCTGAGCACCGGCCAGAGAACCCCAGGTAAGGCTTTGCTTCTTGAGTGGCCTCTCTGCTAGTGGAGGCCTCTTGGATCCTACTGGCTGGCTACTCTCTTTTTGCATCTGGCTTGCGGGGCAGAGGAGATCTGAAAGCGCCCAAATCTTTCTCAGGAGCGGCAGCCCACCTGGAAGGGGTTGGTGTCTCAGAAGCGTAAGCAAAGATCCAGAGCCTTCATCTGGCTCCACTATGTTTGGATTTCAACAGGCAGGAGCTAATGCCATCTGACAGCTGCTTGGAAGCTTTTGCAGAATGAGCCTGGTGGCCTCCATCCAACCGACTGTGACCAGGTGTCACTAAGGCAGTTGTCACTAATTGCTGCCATCGCTGGCAGATGGAGGGAGCAGGGAGCTGAGTCTTGGAGGCCTCTAGATCTGAATGGGCTGCAGCATCGCTGGCACTGCTGCTTCTTGGCCCTCCTAATGTACGACCCAGGAGGGGGTGGGAGAGTCCAAGGTTGGCTTTGAGAGCCTCATTTGCCTGCTTGGCCAAGAGCAAAATGATTGCTCTTGAACAAGGCAGGAGTCCCTCCGGCCACACGGCTGGTGCATGTTTTTGACTGTGGACCAGGAGCCCACACTCCAGCCAAGGCAACAACTTGCTTCCTGCCAGATCAGCTTCAGAGTCCCTCCGTCTCACTCCTGGGCATGGTGTGATGAGTAGCAAATTCCGAGTGGGAATTGGGGAGCAAAAGCACAGCTGTGTGAAGAGAGAAAGTGTCTCTGTCGCTACTGCTGCCGGCTCCCTCTTGCCTCTGGGTGGATTGATATCTCCCTTCTCGCTCTATTGCCAAGCGCTTACTTAAGCATCACTGACTCGACTCATCCCTTTGGCTCTGCTGCTGGATCCCATTGTTGGTTTCGGGTATCAAGGGGATTAGAGGAGCTAATCAGGTATAAGAAGGAGTGGATTGCTGGTCTGCACTTCAGTGTCAAATTCTCATTTCATCATCCTCTTCTGCAATGGTTCAGCAGAGCTACACACAGAGCAAGGTCACCTCTAATGCATACAGTGAGAAGGGCCTTGGGCTGTTTGCTTCAAAAGCCACAATCCAGGGGCTGCTAATCCGCTGCGCCTGGATAATGGCAATGGGTGCCATGGAAGCTACAGCCATAGGCAAGTTGTTGTTACAGGGCCATTGTTGATCAACAGAAAGAGACGTTGTCTCATTCTTTCTGGTTAACTAGAGAGTGTCTGCACCACGCCCAATTTGATATTTTTAAGGATGTGTTTTTAGGACGGGTTTTTAAGAGTAAGAATCTATTGGCTTTTGTTTTTTATAAATTGTTTTTCTTTAAAAAAACCTTGTTGCTCTAGTGAATTATATTGTGCTTGTATATTATGTGCCACTTTGAGTGCTACTTTGACAGCAGAAATGCCATATGGGAGGGGATTTTATCCAATGCTAGTCCTACTCAAAGTAGACTCATTGACATTAATGGGAAGACTAATTTAGACCCATTAATTTCAGTGGGTCTATTCTGAGTAAAACTTAGGGTAGTTTGATACAACCCTGTGTGTGCATACAGAAAAACACATTTATTTAAAAGCACTTACATAGTAATTCCTGTTTCAAAAATATCCAAGCAGTGTATAATCTAACAAAACACAGAAATGTTAAAACAAAAGCACAAACTAAAACCAGTAAAATAGCAATATAAAAAGACATAAAAGCATACAAAAGCAAAACAGAAATTCAGAAAATTCAAACACTTAAAACAACCTTTTGGGTCAGATAAAGCCTGGGCAAAAAGGTAAGTCTTCAGGAGACATCTGCAGCAACAGACTGCTGCTGCTTCGCATATGGCAAAGGAAAGAGTATCATCCATGCACATGCACACACACAAACACACACATCCAGGAGCTTAGTTGTGGATAGTAACACCAGCATCCTTCTCCAGATTCCCCAACCTTAAATTGTGTCCTTTGCAAACACTGATGCCCAAGACTTCTCCGGCTCCTCAGCAGTCAGATTACAGATTGAGGCAGCACTCTGAACTTGATGCTCCGCTGCACGGGGCCCTGGTGCTCTGGAGTGGAAAACTGTTAAATGCACAGCTTCAGCACATGCAATATTTATCCTTCTAACAGTTTTAGCCCTTTTACTAGTTATTTAAGAAGGATTTCATGGTGTCATTCCCTTTCTGCCACTAGAGCATAAGGCTTTTTTGTGGCATCTTTGCACATTCTGAACTTCAGAGCTTGTGTGAATGTGTAAGTAACTAAGGGCAGAGTTATTGGTCTGGGTAGTGACAGAAGGACACACTTAGTGCCCCTGTCATCATCATCAGTTTATTTGCATTTCTGTTTTCCATAGTAAACTATGCTCAAAGCAATGTGATCCCAATAAAACAATGCATAAAATACACGCAGGTCCTAGTTTACGAACACAATGCATTCCTTGGAAATTATTTGTTAGGCGAGTGTTTGCGTAACCTGTCAACAATTTCCGTTCACATAACAAGTTGATTCTTTCCATTGATTCCTATGGGGGAAATTCTAATGCGTCCTCAATCACAGAATTTGTCATGCACACCTGTATAGTGAGGTTTGGGTACTAATTCCTTGTGTTCGGATAAGTGAACATAGCGAGTGTTTGTAAAGTGGGACCTGTGTGTAACGCTTCATGATAATTCACTAGCTATTTATAGGATATATCAGCAAAAGTTAAAAAGTAATAGAAACAACATTTCAGTAGGCTGGAATAAACCTTATTAATAAATTCAATATTACAACAATATTAAGTGATAATAATGATTCAAACTAATATTTCATATTAAAGCATAACAATAGGAAAGTAAAATCTCAAAGCAGCAAAACTAGTATATCTTTTCCAGAGTCGATGTTCTTCCCAGCAAGAGCCCTTGAACAAGATCCCTGCCCTCCAGGCTAGGCAAGGTCACCATAGAGAAGCTGGGAGCTGGGTCTTGACAGAATTTGTATACAGATCACCCTATCCTCAGCAACTGGGTAGTGAAGGGGAAGAAGTTGCAAGGAGGTTCCTGCACTGAGCTGGGGCTGGACTAGATGGACTGCAGGGTGACTTCCAGCTCTCAAATCCTTTTATCCTTCGAGTAGCATGATAGCTGTATCAAACCTGAATGTTCAGAAGTTAGCAGCAGTTGCCAGGGAACAACCACAAGAGAGGGTTGTTGCCACTGTGTCCAGCTTGTGGGCTTCCCGGAGGCATCTGGTTGGTCACTGTGGGAAACAGGATGTTGGACCAGATAGACTTTTGATCTAATCCAACACGTCTGTCCTTGTGTTAGCAGGTGACAGTGAAAAGGGCCCGGGGCCATTATACTTAATGATCACTGGGTATCTGAGCATTTCAGAGTCAAGGTTCACTTTCCAATGTTTCAACCACATTCCCCAGTGCAATTGCAATCGTAACGGATGCTTGCTAGCTGTGGGGATGGCAATCAATTGTTCATTTTTTCCAGCAACAGAATGTTGGGTTTGGATGCTGGGATAAATATAATCACAACAAAATCAGTAGATTATGCTTAAAAAACCCACATTTTTTGCCATTATGTGACCCACATTGTCTCACTGTCTCATTGTCTCATTGTAGCAGAGGTCCTAAAGTTTGCAACCTCCAACTTTTGAGTCTCAAATACACGGCAGCTGAGTTTTTGGATACCCAGCTGAACTATTCAGGAGAAAATTGGCTCAGTTAACCAAAAAGGTTTTAGGATGCATCAGACCAATCAAATGTCATTGGCTGAGAAACGTCTCTCCACAAATCAAACCCAGGGGGAAAGTAAGGGTATGCATGTATGAAGCGAGATGAGCGCTGCACCCCATAGTCCCCTTTGACGGGGCTTAACTGTCATGGGGTCATTTACCTTTACCTTTTGCCTGCATGTGACAGGAGGCACTGATTTTAACTTCTATGGTACGCCCCCCAAGCCCTACAGGATCTGGCAGTGCTGACAATATTCCCATTAGCCAAAAGTCGTGTAACTTTAATCCATGCACTTCTTTGTAGATCTAATACATTTTGGGGGAACCGTATCCTCTCCCTCCTTAATCGATTTCCAAATCCTACTCAGCAATACAGGCAACTGATAACAGTGGCTGGTGCCCACTGGGACTGGCAAGGCAGAGAGACCAGAGCCAGTGACGGGCAGAGCCAACTAACTCTAGTTTTGTCCCTATCCTCTTCCTTCCTGCTGAGTTCTACAAGGAGCTTCACTGAAAGTAAGGAGGAGGAAGCTGACAGGCAGGCTGGGGCTGGTTGGGGGCAGAGGTTGGTGGAGCACTGCCCTGCTCAGCCTAACAGAACAGCCTCCACTGCTGAGTAAGTGGCCTTGACGAAGTCTCTGCCCATTGATGAAGTCTTGGATTCTCAGTGAGGGTGGCAGATCAGTTAGAATAACAAAGAATAATGAGAAATGAGCGCAGATGCGTCGATAAGGTGTTTGTGTGTGTGTGCATTTTTGTGTTTCCTCTTACCTAGTTTCTGCTGCAGCTAGTCCAGAAACCACTAGGTGTCACCCCAGTCCCAGCCTCCCACAGATACAGATGTGTAGGCACGTACATATTCCCAGCCAAACTGCCCTCCAGTGATAGCTTTATATGAGAAATCTGATGTTCCAGGTTGGCCCTTCTGCTTTTGCAGCTCACTGCACAGGCCTTGTTCAGTTATAGCAGAGGGTGGACTATATCCCAGTGTGGAAACTGGGCTGTGTAATATCTCAGAATGACATACTGCAAGCAGGCACAAGACAACTCTTCCTGTCAGTCTGTCAGTCACTTTATTTACAAACTACTCTCCTGCACACATTATACGCAGCAGTTCATAACAAAGCACTGACAAAACTACAAACACAAAAATAAATGCAAATTAACTGCCATAGGAATTAGCAGTAGATTCAGTGTCCATCACTCACATTAGAGAGGGTTCCATGAAGAACAGCCTTTCATTTTTCTGACCACAGATCCTTCTGCTACATACCAAGATGACACTTGGGCCACATCCGCCCCATGCATCTAAAGCCCTCTTAGAGCACAATCACAGCTTCTCCCAAAGAATCCTGGGAACTATAGTTTGCTAAGGGTGCTGAGAGTTGTTCAAGTAAAGGTAAAGGAACCCCTGACCATTAGGTCCAGTCGTGACTGACTCTGGGGTTGCGCGCTCATCTCACTCTATAGGCCGAGGGAGCCGGCGTTTGTCCGCAGACAGCTTCCGGGTCATGTGGCCAGCATGACTAAGCCGCTTCTGGCAAACCAGAGCAGCACATGGAAACACCGTTTATCTTCCCGCCAGAGCAGTACCTATTTATCTACTTGCATTTTGACGTGCTTTCGAACTGCTAGGTTGGCGGGAGCAGGGACCGAACAATGGGAGCTCACCCCGTCGCGGGGATTTGAACCGCCGACCTTCTGATCGGCAAGTCCTAGGCTCTGTGGTTTAACCCACAGCGCCACCCGCGTCCCTATTGTAAGACTGGTTTAACAATCAATACCAGGGAGTTCTGGAGATTGTAGCTCTGTGAGAGGAAGAGGGAATCTCCTAACAACTTTCCCCATCAATGAACTGCAGCTCCCAGGATTCCTTGGGGCAGAGTCATGACTGCTAAAGTGGCAAAGTAATGTTCTAAATGTACGGTGCAGATGTGGCCTTAGTCACAGTGAAAAGCACTTATTTGTAGAACTTACCTTGCATGCTTTGTTAATTAATTGTACCTCTATTCTTTTTGCAGATCGGGACCAAACCGCCCTGAACCAAGTAGTCGAGACCAACCGCAGCATTTTGGAGGCCCCCCTCCGCTTATCTCTCCTAAGCCTCAGCACCATCCTGTCCCCACTTCCCTCTGGAACCCTGTCTCCTTGATGGACACTTCTGAGGCACGAAGGATACAGGAAAGCCACCCTCTCCCAAGCCACAGCACCCAGTATGAGTCCAGTCGGCAAGCCATCCCCCTTGTGAAGGTCGAGCGGGTGTACTGTCCAGAGAAACTCGAGGAAGGGGCTAGGAAAAGAGAAGCCCTGGAGAAGTTCCAGCCTCCTCGGGACCCTGGCGGGGCAGAGCATAGTGGCTTTTCCCATGGGCCCTTCTTAGCAGAACTGGAAAAGTCCACACAGACCATATTGAACCAGCAGAGGGCCTCCCTCTCACAGGGTGGGCAGTTGGTTGACATGAGCTTGAACGCCAAGCCAGGCTCACCCTATCGGCATCCATTACCCAGAAGCCATGACCCCATGTATGTTTACGACGAGTTCTTGCAACAGCACCGGAAGCTGGTCAGCAAGCTGGACCTGGAGGAGAAAAGGCGGAGAGAAGCCCAGGAGAAAGGTCAGTGCACAGACCCTTTGTGGAAGGGCCTACAATACATCCAGCACTCCGGAATGCCTCCCCTCCAGGTCTTGTTCCTGGAAAAGGGAAGGCTGCACAGGGTTTTCAAATGACTTCAGTTTTGGAAGTAGAAGTCTCAGTCATCCTCAGGAAAATAGGAAACACAGGAAGCTGCCTTATATTGAGTTGGACCCTTGGTCTATCTAGTCCAGTGTTATATATGTACTAACTGGCAGCAGTTCTGCAGGTTTTCAGGCAGGGACTCGTTCCAGCTTTACCTGGAGCTGGTGCCTGGGATTGAATTGGGGACCTTCTGCATACAAGATAGTTGCTGTACCACTCAGCTAAGGCCCATCTTCTGCAGCTTTCTTACAGAGAGCACTAAATAACATAACTGCAGAAAAGGAAAGGGAGGTGCTTAGAACAGTCAAGAGGCTACACAGCCCTCATGGGCTCTCAGGTGAAGGAAGTCTCTGCCAAAGAGTCCCTACAGCAGAGCTGTATGGTTTGGTTAGTACCAAGGAACTTGTGTGAAAAAGAAAAAGGTATCCCTCCTTCAGATTCGATGTTTTTCCTTGTGCCAGGCTAGGGGCAGGGGGAATGGAGAGAAGCTCACAGCCAGTGTGTGATTTGGTAGTAGGGACCCTGCTAGCCTCCAGGTGCCATCCTTTGTATCCAGGTGTGGACTTGGTAGGGGCACTTTTTAAAAAAACACCACACACACTTTTATGTTGTTATTTTAAAAAGCAGCACAGCACTGCAAACTTTGGTTGCTCAAGGCTTTTTTAGCAGGCATACAGAAATTCCTAAAAGTGGATTCAGGAACACATTTTCCTCATTGTGCTGCCTTTCCAGTTCCCATTTGGAGCTAGAGACATGTCCAAACAGTAGGTTCAGTCACTCCTTGTCTAACACCTTCCTGTAAGCATTGTGTCACTACTGATTGATTATAAAAATGTAATACTTAGTATAATAGTAATATTTAAGTGGTTTTCTGCTAGAGATTAGTAATATAATCTCTAGTAATCCAATCTAAATCCCACACCTGTCAGACTGCATCAAGAGATCCACTTCCATTTGGATCCTATTGTGTGGTGTCCGGAAAAAGCACTCTGTTCAAATTGTCCTCCTGACTGAGAAACCTGGAAGAGCAAATACTGAATACACCAGAATTTAGGAAGAGATCCAATGAAGCCGGATTAAAGTGTGCTGCTGCCTGAAGGTTGAGTAAAAGGCTGTATCTGAGGCTGAGATATTCTACCCCTTGATTTGCATAAGGCTTCTCCAGTAGGCAAGTTGCCTCATTTGTCCCAAATTAAAAGCATGGCTTGAATTTGTAATGTCTAGAAGGAAGAGTGTAATGTTCAGGGAAAACCAGCCTTTTTGGGGTTTTATCAAAGCCCCGGTAGCTTGGATCACATATCAGAAATGGATTGACCCTCTAACGTGGCAGGCTGCTTCCTTTCCCCCCATTCACTTTGCCTGCCTTGAGCACACTGTCCAAGTTGCTCCATAAATCCTGCCTCCAGTTAATAAATGATGAACTGAGACTAATAAAGCAGCTTTAAATATTAATCTGGAATGTAAAACCAGAGTGAGATTAGCAAACAGGAAAAAAGCAAGGCACTTAGTTGGGAAAGGTGAGTTTGGCACACAGGGTCTGCAGTTTCCATTGTGTGATGTTACTGTTTTCTACTTGTAGCTGCTCACATCCCTTTGGGCATAAGTCAGCTTGTTATCTCTGCCTTCTAGTTGCCTCCTTCTTCTTTGGCTGCCTCACTAATCTATGCCAGCTAGCATCATGGTTAGCTGCTGTGCCACTGGGAGCATGTGATGGTGGCATGCCAGAGCATTAACAGTGGCTGCTCCTGCAATACACAGATGCGCTCACTGCAAAGACTGGGAAGCATGAAGGACTGAATCTAGGAATCTGGCATGCAAGCCTGTTCAGTACGGGGAAGAGTCCTGGCCTGATCATTAGCACCCCACCATGTTCATCTGCCTAGCACCTCCTGGTTGCCACATGCACACAAGGCAACCAGGCTTCTCACTGTTTATCAGGTGCTTCAGAGCACCAGGGCATTCACAGCCAACTGCCTCCTTTTATGGGCACAGCAGCCATACATCCAAGGGACCACAGCACAGTCATTGCATTGCACAAGCAGCTGGCTTCCACCTGCCTACCTTCTGAGCTTTTCATTTCCTTTTTTTTCTGGTCAAATTTGATCTTGTTTTGTATAACTGCGTTTTTTGTTTTTTGCAGGAGGCAGAATACATACAAACCTCAGTAGGATTCTGTGCCTGTTTTCCCCAGACATGTATCTGTACAGGAGGCTGTTATCTTTCCTGAATCAGAGGCCCAGAGAACATAGTCTGTTGCCCTTGCTGTAACATTATCTGGCTCTGCCTGCACACTCAGAACAGTGATGACAATTCATTCAGCTGCTCCTGAGAACAACCCACTAGGATGCAAACAGCCCTCATGGTTGGGCCCAGTTTTTATTCTAAAGCATATTCCATTATAGACTAGATTGTGTCTCTTAGCCACAGGAAAACAAAAAAGGTCGTGATGATGCTAGGTAAAAGATTTGGAGCTTCCCACAACCTTCAAGTTGGCCTTCTCTGCTTTATTATGTACAGGTTACTACTATGATCTGGATGACTCTTACGATGAGAGCGATGAAGAGGAAGTGCGAGCCCACCTGCGATGTGTTGCAGAGCAACCCCCATTAAAGTTGGACACCTCCTCTGAGGTAAGCCCCACCTCTTACTTCACATAATACTATGGACAAATTCCGGTCCATAATGATTTCCAAGAGTTGACAAGTCTAGCTGCGCCAGGTAAGATCACTTGCTAACCTATTACCAAGAACTGAACTTTGCTAACATCATACTATTATCTGTCTTTTAGAGCAAATATGCTTGAGTTGAAAAGTGGGAGTCTGTGACGTTCCAAATATAAATGATTTGTTCAATATCTCAGGGCAAATTCCAATCAGTGCCACAAATCCCAAGTTCTTGCAAGTGGCACTTTCCCCCTACCCCCAGCTGTGTGTATTTTTCCAGGCTGAGGATTGAATGCTGATCTCAGCCTGGAAAAGTTCCTAGAGTTGAAGGAGGAAGTAATAAAGAGTGACTCTCTTCCCACTTCCTCCTTCAACTCTATGGATGCTTCAGTCACTGCCTTCTGAGTCTCAAGAGGGAAGAGCACAGAGTAAAGAGCCAGTAGGAGTGGGTAGGCTCAAATGCAGTTTATCAAATTTTTTATTAAAGAGGTAGCAACAGTGGTACATATTAGCTACTGCACACCCTTCCTACCCACCTTCCCTATAAGTGGGCACTGGTATACCGTAATAAGCACATTCTCACTTGCATGTTTTGGCAGAAAGAGGATTTTAAAAACAACAACAAATGGTAGTCTAGTGCTCTGTTTGTGTGAATGGGTGGGTGTTTTGTATGTGAGGGGGGAGAGAGAGAAGTGGCGGTAATGGACGTCTCAACTACCCTCACCCACTCTTACCACTCCGCAAGGAATGCAGCCCTCAAGTTCAAAAAGTCTGCCCACCCATAAGTGAAGCACAAGCACATTCTACCTATTTTTTTCCTTTTCCTCCTCCTTCTTTTGGCTGTCTGAATATTGTCAAGTATTTAGATAGGCCATTGATAACTTATCTTCTTTTCTATGCAGTTGGCATACTGTAAGGAATTAGACAGCTAGGTGTTTCTCTTGAAAAGAGAATCCTTTACTGAGCAATGCAGACTTCCTGCGGTTTCTTTAAACAAAATGATAGCGCATACTTCACCTTAGAACTAATATCATGGAAACACTGGTTGATGTATACCTTTAAGCAAGAGAAACCATCTGAATGAGCATCCCTCCTTTGTTACGCTCTTCCAGAAACTGGAGTTCCTACAGCTTTTTGGACTGACCACCCAACAACAGAAGGAGGAGCTGCTGACTCAAAAACGGAGGAAACGGCGGAGAATGTTGCGAGAGAGGAGCCCCTCGCCACCTAGCGTCCAGAATAAACGCCAGACGCCCTCTCCTCGTTTTGTGCTCTCAACACGTTACAGCCCTGATGAAATGAACAATAGCCCAAACTTTGAGGAGAAGAAGAGATTCCTTACCACCTTCAATTTAACCCACATCACTGCTGAGAAACGGAAAGGTGAGTATTGGTTTGTGGGAAGATGGGTAGAAGATCTTCCAGGATGTGAGGGAAGTTTAAGGGGGTCTGGTAAGTTCAAAGGCCATACAGAGGAGCATCTCAGTTCTGTACCTCCTGGAATCTGTTGAACAAACTGCAGTCTGCAAGCCAGTGTGTCCAAGGAATGCAGAAAAAATCATGCACTTTTATGTAAACTTGTATATGAGGGTCAAGTGTCATGTGAAATGGCCTCTTGGAAATTGGACTGTAGGCCACTTGACTTCTCAAAGCCTCCTCTTCCAGAAGCAACCCACATTACAACTAAAGGAAAACTGTGGATCTGGCCTTTGTCTAGTGCCAAAACCTGCGGCCGCCCTGCAGTTGTTACACGGCATTGTCTTAAGAAAGAGAGAACAGCCTGGTAGTGTTGGTGTAGCATTGTGATGAACAGCATGGGCTAGGGACTACCAAGAAGTATCTTCAGATCTCAGCTTAACCTTAAACTCCATACTCTGGTGCTTAACAGCATATGGGCAGCTGGTACAAGCTTTTGAGTTCAAGGCCCTTAACAAATTAGGTCCAGGCTATCTTAAGGACTGCCTGATTCCTTATATCTCTACCCAATCACTGAACTCTTGTGGGGAGTCTCTGTTAGTGTTCCCCCATGGCTCAGATGCATGGCTTGTAACTATTAGAAGCCATGCATTCATTTTGTGGATCCAAGCCTGTGGAAATCCCTTCTAACTGAAATTAGACAGCCATCTTCCTTGCTGAAATGTCAGGCACATGACTTAGGCTTTCTTGGTCCAGCAGGCATTTTAAGGTAGTCTTTAGTTTTTGCAATGAATTTCTATTGTTTTATTTTCCATGAAGGTTATTTTTATGTGCACCCCATAGAAATGCTAATGATTAAGTGGTTTATGTGTCTTAAATTAGAAAAAACTACAATAAAATACAGGTCTTTATAGCACAGTTGTGAGGATTAGTGATGATATGTGTGTGATGCTTTGGTAACTCTTAAAAAGTGCAGTATATATTCTGAGAAAGTATGTGGTGTTAGATTTTCTTATTAAGAGCCAAGAGCAAAAAACGAACAGGCTTTACTAACCAGGAGTGGAGAGAGCTGCTCTCTGGGACTGTGTATCAGTCCTGCCTCTTTCATTTTGCCTCTGAGCAAAAGCTAGTTTTGCTCACTGCTTCTCATCTTTCAGATACAGAGAAGCTGGTGGAGATGTTCCATGCCATGAAACAGAAAAGTGCCTCCACAGCAGTATCAGTGAAAACATCCCCACGGGACAGTCCTAGTAGCGTCCAACCTGGTAAGTGGCTATAAATGGCAACTGTGTGACAGCAAGGGATTGATGCCTTCTTGGCTGGGGCTTCTTGAGGCTGCAAGATGTCCCAGTGGACTTGATTATCCTTGTCTGTGACTTTCTGCTAGGGTAAACCAGGCAGATTAAGTCCAGGGAGACGTTTTGAGCGCCCGATTACAGGAGTGTTGTTTGTCTGCCAAAACAGAACATGTGGCGTGTTTCCAAGAACTGGATCTGCAACACAAACCAGTACACATTTACTCAAAAGTAAGCCCCCCTGATTTCAATGAGGCTTACTTCCAAGTATGTATAAAATGAGTTGCAGCTGCCGCCAGACTTTACAGAAACCTCAAAGGGAGGGGTGGGAGTGCCCCTTGTGTCTCATTATCTCCAACTGCTTCTTAAATAACCCAACAATAGGCACATGCCAGAAGTTGTAATTTCCTACACTGCTCACACAGTTTTGGTGGGAGGTATTTGCATCTATTTATTTTTATTTTATTTAAAAGCATTTCTAAACCATTTAATATTTCAAAAATCTCTAAGGAGTGTAAGCTATTTACAGTGTAAAAATATCCATTAAAACAAAAATACAACTTAAAACTAATAAAAAAGTATAAAATGCCCATTTTGTCACTGCCCTATTATTTTGTGTAGGGTGCAGAGTGTAATTTCTAAGTGAATGTACAGAGCTCTTCAAGGGCAGGCAGTCTTTCTGGTAACCTGGTTGTTCAGGGCTTTACAGAGGTTGTGTGCCACGCCGCCGCCGCGCCCCCCCCCCGTCTCTGCCAAGCAGTAGGAAGTTTCCAGGGAGTTGCAGGCACTCGCCTAGGGTTGTGTTTCCATTGGGAAATCAAGGCACAAGAAGACTAGTCTTTAAGAAATGTTTTATTTTACATATATTTACACCTAAAGCCTTCAGTGGAGGGGTTCCCTCACTGAGAGAAGTGGTGTTACAGGGAAATGGGCACAGGGCCTTCTCGGCAGTGTCACCCTCCCTGTGGAATGCTCTCCCATCAGATGTAAAGGAGATAAATAACCATACAACTTATAAAAGACATCTGAAGGCAGCCCTGTATTGGGAGGTTTTTAATGTTTGGTGTTTTATTATGTTTTTATGTGTGGTGGAAGCCACCGAGGGTGGCTGGGGAATAAATTAAAACTTATTAATAATAATTTATTACTATACCCAAAGAGCATCCCATGGCTCCTCTGATAGCTACAGCAAGCTTGGGTCCAAAACAGCAGCCAGTCATGGCTCCCAGACTGTTGATGCAACCTCCTCCAGCCAGTGCTTCATGGAGTTCTTCCCAACTTCCTCCTTCTTGTTGCCAGCACACCTTGCAAAACCAACAAAACAAAAAAAAACACCCTCTCCTTCCATCTGCTCACCCACCCACCCTTCCCCAGACCTGTTTTTGTTTTGTTTTGTTTTTTTGCAGGACACATTTTTCCTGTGTGATGTCACACCTCCTGTAACCTCCCCCTCCCAACACTGTTATTTCTTTTGCTAACACACAGCTGCGGGTGGAGGGGCAAGGACAGCACCTGCATGGTCAATTGTTCTTTAATTGCCTGGCACTTAATTCTCCTCCTATTCGCATTCAGCCTGTAATTTAAATCTAATGTCTGGCATCTTCCCTTCATACTCCAAAAAACCCAGCTAAATTCTACCCCTTTATTCATTTCCAACATTCACTAACTCTAGCAGTTCTGAGTGCCCTTGCACCCCCAAACTCTGTTACCCCAAATCTGTAACGTGTCAACCGCGCATTAGCACGCTTCCTCAAATGAGGCAGCTTATTTGTGCACACAGATTTGCTTGCCTTGAGCAAAGTTGTTGTTTCCTCCCATGTTCAAAGAGTCTTATAGCTACCTCAAGGTAAATTTTGCAGTATTCTCGGAGCAGAGCAACCAAGGGATAACATGTCAGCTGAGTACAAGTCCCAATTTGCACTTGACAATATGTCATCAAAGGCATTGTAAGAGGTCTTTGGAAGCGTCTGCTATTATTTTAGGAAAGAAACAAATACTCACCCAAGTTATGCATCCCAACTGAAGCAGTGTTTCTGTTCTATTTCTTTATGCCAGAGAATTAACAGTAACTCCAGAGTGCAAAATGGTAATTTGTTTTTCAGAACCCTTTTGTTCAGTCACGGAACTCTTAACAAAGGGAATTTATATCGAAGCAGCACTGTGGCTGCCCCGAGTGACTTTGTTTGTTTTTCTTTCTTTCCCAAAGAGCCACAAGTACAGCAAACTGCTGTGGATTCAGAGAAACCAGTCAGCATTGCTGCTGCTTCGCTGCCAGACTCTCAGAAGACAGCTGAGCCCAGCAGAATGGAACAGCTGCGACCGCATGAGTTTCCAAGGTCCAAGGAGCCGGCTCCTATCTCTGCAGAGAAGCCTAAGTTGAGCGATGGGCACATGGCCAAGAAAAGCCTGAGCATCCTTAACTATGTCCGAAGTTCTTTGCCGAAGGACATCCCTGTGCCGTTATCACACAGTATGAATGGGAAGAACAAGCCATGGGAGCCCTTTATAGCCGAGGAGTTTGCACATCAATTCCACGAGTCTGTGCTGCAGTCCACACAGAAAGCGTTGCAGAAACACAAAGGTAATGACAACTTGTAGGGAGGCAAGTAGTGCCAATATCCTGCCAGAGATACATGTGATTGAGTGATAAGGGAAATGTACAGGACTTTTGGCTTATGAGGGTCAGTTTTTGAGCCCAGTTTGGGATTGGTTTCCTTGCTGCTTGCATAATTCAAGTTTTGGATATGCAGATTTTACATGGACTCCTTTTAGATAGGCCAAGACTCTACACAATCCAGTTTCAATGTTTAGTAAAGCCATTGTGGGGATAGTTGCTTGAAGTACATTCAATGCATAGTGCATTCCAAATAGGGGGGGGGGATAGTGATCATTATGGGGAATAGAATCAGTGGAGTGCCTGGTATAGATTTCAACCCAATTCATACTTGGAACAAATGTTGTATGCCCACATAAAACTGTTTACAGACATTTAATATTTTCAGTATTATCATTGCTTCTCTTGCTAGAATAGCCTGAATGTTTTTCAGTAGGCAGTAGTAAATATAACTTCATGAAATGCCCTGGAAATACAGCTCACATAGTGAAAAGCTCATTAATTTCAGTGGACAGAAGTGCAGAATATAAAGTTGTTACAGTGTGTTGGCAGCTGCTGTTAGTCAAAAGCGAAATAAAAAAAATTAAGGCAGCCAATAGGAGACACCAATTCAGCAGCTGAAGGTATGGGCCATAAATGTTTTCACTGACTAGGTCTGAGAGATAGTAAAATCCCCTGAAAACGTCTCTTGTACTGAATACAGAGCATTAATCTTGGTGACATACCTTTCCTCTGAGATAACATCTTGAGTAGAAATTGTTAAAACTGTTAATGTCCCTTTCAGCAGTCCTATTTTGAAAGAGGTGGTAGGATATTTCTTGGGCACTTGATTTAAGCTTGGCCATCTGAACTCTTAAATTCTTCTCTACGTCTGACTGCTCTGCGACCTTGACAAGTCTTTTGGTCCTTCCCCCTCCCCAGAATTCCTCAATGGTTTCCCTTTTTATTTCCTTTACACTTCCTCTGAGTGTGTGTGGACTCCATCATTTGGGTCTTGCTTTTAATAGTTCCTTGTGGGTGATACTTATAATTGTAGTTGGAACTTATTCTGCACAAATATTGGAGCAAGTTGCAAGGATGGGTTAATGTGATATGGAAGAGCTTGATGCAAAATTACTTCTTGCAGAGAATTTGCTTTCCCTAGCAGTATATGTGTATAGGCTAGCAGTATAGGCTTCTTCATTTGCTTTAGCTTAACTTATCTTCCACTGTGGGTGCAGGTGCTTACAACCACCTGGATCTCATCCCAGAGCAACAGTGCATTTTCTCCAGAGTATGGGTAATCCACACCCTTGATATGTAAGTGGGGAGGTGGGCACTATACTTCAACCATCTTACCTTGTATTGATATAAGTATTTTGAAGTTTGAGCGCAGCTGGTCCTAACACAGAAATTAGTCAAAAGGGACATGCAATGCAGATGTTTTACCTCTTGCAATGCTGCCTTCTAGGAAATGCAGTGGCACACTCCGCAGAGCAGAACCACAAAGTTGATGCCTCCATTCATTATAACATTCCGGAGTTGCAGACTTCAAGTTGGGTGTCTCTGCCACAGCAGAATGGCCAGAAAGACTCTCAGCATAAGGGTTTCATACCCCCAGAGCATGAAAAGGTCTCTGACTCAGAAGAGGAGGAGGAGGAGGAGGAGGAGGAGGAAGAGGAGTATCCCAGACCCAAATGGCAGGGGATTGAAGCCATCTTTGAGGCTTACCAAGAACATATAGAAGGTAAGCTGCACTGATTCAGGAGATCCCTTTCCTCAAGTTGTTTCCCAGTGATGCAAAGGGGAAAAAGTTGGAGCAGGTTATTGCTGTTTACTTTGCTCCAATCTTAGCTATTCCTGTGTGAACATATGCTTATGTGTTCTTTGTCAAGATCAGAAGAGTGTTTTGTCCTGGTAGGAAACACCCTGTGCTTTGTGGACACAAAGTTGCCTAGGATCAGTTTTTCCTTTTCTGTTAAGAGATTTATTGTACAGTCAAACCCCGGTTGTCGAATGTAATCCGTTTCGGAAGCCCCTTCGGCTTTGGAAATGTTCGACAACCAAGGCGCGGCTTCTGATTGGTTGCAGGAGCTTCCTGCACTCAAGTGGAAGTCACATTGGACATTTGGCTTCCGAACAATGTTTGAAAACTGGAGCATTTACTTCCAGGTTTTTGGCGTTTGGGAGCCGAAACGTTCGACTGTACTATTTTAAGTTCCTCAGTGCCCTTCATTTCTCGAGAAGCATCTTTCATAGTTTAAGACAGGGCAAATTTCAAGATACTTTACAGTACTGAGTTTTTAAGGTTAATACAGACTACAGATGCTCTCCACTTCAGTTTCACTGGTCTGATTGCATAGTGCAAGCATGCAAGCTCCCAAGAGAGACAGCCACTGCTTGGCTTACCATGCTGTCTGAACGTGGATTTGGGGTTGAGTTCTCTCCAGGCTAACCTTATGAGCTTTTTAAATCAAGGTTTGTCCTATTATTTACAGCTCATGGTTTTTCCAGGAGAGCTAAACCATGAGGTTTGGGTTCATATGACTCAATAAGCCAAACCATGGGTTAGTATAGCAGCAGAACAACCAGGGCAGGGAGGAACAAAGCAGCCACACTCTTCTCTCTAGGAGCCTGCATGCTCATGCATTTGCACTAAGCCATGGTCTGGCTTAGTGTGATATACAAACCAGGCCTCTTGCATGAGTACCGGTAGTTTGTCAGGAACCTAGCCTGGTACTGAAAAGTGACAAATTCTCTAAATTTGATTGCAGAGCAAAATTTGGAACGACAAGTGCTGCAAACCCAGTGCAGACGCTTGGAGGCCCAGCACTACAATCTCAGTCTGACTGCAGAACAACTATCGCACGCTATGACGGTGAGTGTGGATTCAACACCAATTGCATCTCAGCTCTAATGTCATTTTTTCTGTTCTGTGCTTCAGGAACAAAATCCATTATTGTGGTTATACTAATCATCTTACTTGAAATCTCTCTTCTCTTCCTGTGCAGGAACTAAGGAACCAGAAGCAGAAGATTGTCTCTGAAAGGGAACGACTTCAGGCCGAACTAGATCACTTGAGAAAGTGCCTTGCGTTGCCTGCAATGCAGTGGTCTAGAAGTTACTTCAAGGGGTATCCCAGGTGACACTCCCTTGTACTAGGCCGAACATATAGTATAGAAATAATAATCTATTTTATTACCTGGAATATTTAATATTTTTCACTGGGAGGTTTGAAGCTTAAAAATAAAAGAGAATGTGCCATGCATGGAGCAATGGACCGTGGAATCCAGGAAAATCCAAACCCATCTCTTGAAAAGATGCAACTGAATCTTTTTAAGCCTGCGAGTAACTTGCTTAGAAGGACTCTAGTTTTGGTTGAATTTGAAAGGGTTATTTTCCTTCTGCTTCCTCTTCTGCCTTTTTAAAATACTGTTTTTAATCCAGAGATTCCACCAATGACACTAACATCCATCTCCCGTTGAAGGGGCCGGGATTATCTCCATACATATGCTCCTTTTTGTTGCCATATAAGTTCAATTGCTATACTTTGGAATCTGCCCATTTTATTTCTGAAATACAGTTTCTCAATCCAAGAGGAGACAAGGTACACATCAGTTTTTGTTAGAATGAACTGGATATTTTGGATACAGAAATAATTATCTGCAGAGTAGTAGACCTAGCAGAAGAAAATGCAGCTTCCAAACTTGACTTCCCATGCATCTATCAGCTTTTTGCTGGAAATGCATTTCACTTGAAAAATAAAAGTGAATAAATAAACTGAAGGTACCTTTTTATTACTGGGGAGGGGAGGATGTACAGAACAGTGATATACATACAACACACACAGATTATGTACCCCAGTGGGTAGAATTTTCATACAAAGATTTTACAATTAAAGAGTGAAAAAGGTGCTTCAGCCTTGTACTGTGTATATATTTAAAAATGTTTTGTATGTTTTTATTACTTTAATTATTGTTATAAAAAGCTTGCCATTTTCAATATGTTTCTGCTTTTTTTTCTTTTTGGCAAAAAGATAGCTTGCTTTTAGTGTTTGTACTGCTGCTGGTCAGGACATGAAAAAAATATTGAAATGTTTTTTTAAAAGAATTTTAAGGAAAAAGCTTTCCACTGGGGCACGTGCTATCACTTAGGCATTTTGCGATGCATAGCACCAGTTTCTGGTACAGTAAATTCTCCTGCGCAACTGGAGTTTCTTTTCCCCATTTCCCCCTGCCCTGCTACCCCTTTTTTCTTCAAGCACTTGGAATACTGAATGTCATATGATCTGTTGCTATTGAGAGAAGATCTTAGGGACTACACTATCAACGTTAGTGGACAATAATTGGCTTTGTTCCTTTAACCAACACCACTTAAAATCGTAGCACTAGCAGCATCAATTATATGAGGCTTCCAAAGAAGGAAACATTATTCCAAAAACAGCAAACAGTTAATACAAAGGAAGAAAAATACTGTGATCTGTGCCTGAAGCTGTCTGTTTCCAACCTGCTTCATATACAGACCCAGTAGCACAGAAGCTACTTCTGGCACAGTGTGACCCTATTCCACAAGAATGCATGTGTACATGAGACCATGAGGGTAGATTTCATGGGTCTTTCATACCTGACTGCCAGTGCAGTTTGCATAGCATTCAGTTGGCTTACCCACATGGTCATGTTATTCACATGCCATGCACTCCTGCAGCAGGAGGGTCACATACACTAAAAATAGGTCCCAGGCTCCTAGGTCCAATGTGTTGGGGGCCCTCAGCCTTGTACTAAACCCAGGTAAAAGAGATTTTTTTTAAAAAAAAAGTTTTACTCAAGTCATATCTTATTTGGCCCATGTAGCTCCTGCCAAAATTTAGGACTCCTCTGACTGGTTATCAAGAGCTAGTTTGGATTAGTGTTTTCTTTCCATATTTACGTATTAAACAACATTTTCATACACAGTCCTAGCAGGTGGTTTTGCTATCCTTCCTTATAATCCATGCATTTAAATTTTAAATTGACAGCACTAGAAATTAAAGGCAAGGTGGATAAGCCAGACATCCATTCACCAACTGAATGGATGCTCTAAAAACCAAACATGCTCTAAAAAAGCTCAAAGCTTTTAGTTTTAAAGCCTTGCCTGACAAAGCAGGTTCTCCCTTTGCTTTGTTTATCAGTCTGGCAACACCAGTCTTTTGTGATGTATGGAAGCACTGTTAGATTAATCTACGTCCCTTTAAGGGAAGCCTAGAATCAATATTATAAAGGATCAGGCACATTATTTTATGTGCACTGATCTTTCACACTTGAGGGGATTATATACACAAGCAAGGCCCAGCCCTCCCAAGTTTAAAATGGTTTCCCCTTTGCCTTAACTATTCAAGGCCTCACCAACCAATATTTGCAGAATGTGTGGCAAAAGCACAATATTTTGACCAAGAATATAATATAACCCGGGGATTTGTAGCACCTTTATAGTCAAGGTTCACTGAATTTTGTCAGCCTCTTTGCATTTTATAATTTTAGTAGCTGATGTGCAATGCTTTTTGCTGTTGCTATTAAAAATTCTCTTTCCCCGAATAATGACAATGAAAAGCAAGCGGGTGTGCTCTTGTAGGACTCTACAGTGACCAGATGCAAAGTAAAACAAAGCTTCTATCCTTTTAAATAGCTGCTTAGAAGTAAATTCAGCTGGTGCAGTTTCCTCACCACTGTGTGACAAACCTACACCTGCCACAATTCCCTTTTCTATGCAACTCTTAAGAATACCAAAGCCCTGACCAGCCTCCAGAGAAAGTTTATCTATTATAACAAGAAAGAAACCTAGAGCAAATTTATGGACCTGTGTGACACAATGTCCTCTTCCTGAATGCAGAAAGAGATTTTTTTTTCCACATTAGCAAGTGATCCTTCAAACAGCTAAAGCTGCCAGTTTCTGTAATAGTATTCTGATTATCCTTCCCTGATGTACTGAGACAATCGGCTCTATTGGAGCATGAAAGAAACGAGCAGAAACATGTAAAAGTCACTCATATTTCCCCCTCTGAATGATGTTAGGTCATTATCACCCATTTGCCTTCAAAGGAAAAAAAATACCTGATTGTCGTTAATACTATTTCATTCCATAAATTAGGTTTTGCCAAAAAAGCAGAATACAAAATTATACCTTAAAAACTTGTTTTAGTCACACCCCCTTAGGTCAGCTGAAAAGTATCAAAATAAGGGACCACAGGAAAACTCAGTTTGCAGTAGTTTCAGTGCTCATTCTGGCCATTCAGGTTTCAATATATGACCAGAGTAAAGTATTTATGTGAAGTATTGACAGAAGGCAACAAGCTGGCATTGTCAGATAAACCTAAGGGGTGGTGGTAATGTAGAAAGTCATAGTTTAATTAGGAAGGTGTTACGGGAACAAAGATGGGATAAAACATTAATGGCTCTACTAATTTATTTCTGTCCAAATAATTATACATCCACTTTCAAGCTATCAAGGTTGAGTGTTAACTGAGGGTAATTTGGATGATATTTCCATACCATGTCTATCAAATTGTTGCAGTAGCAGTGTCTTTCAAGTCAGTGTAGATTACAGCTTTTATATCCTAGTGTTGGCAATGGACAGGGGCAGGGGGAGATGGGCATAGAAAGGAGGAGGCCATTGCACTCATTTTTCTAAATGTAATTGCACTATGTGTGTCTTTTTCTTTCAACTGAGCAGAATGTAGGCAAGACTATATGGGAAGATGCTTGCACCACGCTGCTCCAGCTTTTACAAGCCCAACATGTGCTGTTTAAGGACACACATTAGAGCCAATTGGCTTGATTTCTATATATCTACATACAAGAGTAAATAATGAATGTGCACTTACTCAAACTCAGTTGAATTCAAATCCAGATTCAGTGGTACACAAGCTGCCAGATCAGTCACAATTTCCCATTTAGAACAAGCCTGCGTTGTCTGAAATACGTTTGTCTTTCCCTCAAACAATGCAAAAAAGCATGAAGGCAGAGAGGTTAGGAGGTGCTAGTATGAAAACTACAGTATCCCATCTTGGAGCAACCCTTCTTTCAAAACATTCTCTTCTTTTCTACAATGATGGGAGTCAATTCCTTCTCCCACCTACCCCATCCGCCCCCAGCTTTCTGGCCCACTGCTTAAATTCTCAAGACTACCCCATTTGCTCTCCGTTGCCCCCAGGGCCATGCTGACTGGTTGTTGTTATAAGAGGTGCAGAATTTCTCAAGCAACTAAACACAGAGCATGAAGGGAGAGCAGGAGGATAAAGCCCAGACTGGCTGGGGCAGTTTAGATGCTGTGAGACAAATTAAACCTGTTTTAAGTGTACTTGTTTGAATTTAATGTAATGTAATATATTTGTTGAATGTAGTAATTAGGTATTTATGAATATATTGCTGTAATTTCTGACAACATCCAAAAAATAAAATGTTCCTAAATCATGACAAAGGATTATTTTCCCAGCAACCCCAGTGGTGGATGGAAACTACACTGACTGTGTATAAATTAAAATTTGAAGTGTTAACTATGCTTAAAGACACAGATCAAACCTTTCAACACAATCTGGCATTTTATACAGTATTCACTATGAAGGCATCATACTGCCATTGCCCCAACTATACACTAAGCTAGTTGTTTATTCCCCATTGGGATGAGCAGGCAAGCTAGAAACTTGCAGGTGCTAGAACATACACAGCCACCCTAGGACATGAATTCCAAAAGCTAGCACTAAGCTGAACTAGCTCACAAGTCAGCACTAAGTAATACTAGAGAGCACAAAATATGGCAGAAGATGCTATTGAAGGAACAAACAGAAATCATGATTTTGCATGAAGTATGATTAATGGATTCCTCAAACAAGGCAAAGATTGTTACAGATTAAAGTAGTATGCCTTTAAGATTGTTTAACGACAATCTTAAATGGTATATATTGTAATGGTATATATTCTCCCATATTCTCCCATTACAAGCAACATCTAGCACCATCATCAATAATGTTACTTTGTCACTACATAGTTTCTTCAGTGTTGGTGTGAATTTCCAACAAATTTAACCTCTCCTACATTTTTTATATTGCAAATGAAAAAATTAACAGGTTGAGCTTGCACTGGGACTCTGCATTATAAAAATATCAAGAATTTCAAAAAAAAAAAATTTACAAACATTTCACGAAATAGTACAAAAGCACAATACTTTTTGAAGAACTACTTTAATGATCAAGTATCTTGCAGACAGCCAGCAGAGGTCAGTGTGTTGCTGCCTAAACAATGTACACTTTACTGCAGTCTAGTTAAGAATCTGCCTCATTGCCAAGTGTCAACCTAACAGTATTTGGACCACTGTATACCCTCCTCTTTATTATTTTCTTCCCTTCTGCCCCTACCAACAGCTATAAAGGTTACAAACCAGACAGGTAGGAGCACTCACTGTATGACTGAGGGCCTGAGTCCTAACAGCCAATGAATACCTACATAATTAAAATGGGGTTGATTCTGACTAGCAAGTGACTGGCTTTAGGAAATTTAGAGCAAAGAGTCTACAGCAGAGATAAAATGCAGGTACACAAAACAAATCAATTTACTCTGTGAAAAACAGAAACAAGGCACATGTTCTCACTTTCCGCAGACACACATACACAAAGCAGTTCACTTCAGTGGTTGCTGACAAAGCAACCAGAGAGGATCCTTTATCTCTTGAGGACAGTTGACAAATAGACTGCAGTAAGTGATATCCACAGTGGAAGCACACAGTGCCCTGCTGGAAAGATGGGTTATCACTCCCCAGGCAGGCTCACAGGAGTGCTGTGCAGCCAGGTGTATAAAATAGTCTCACTCTGTCATCTTTCCCAGAGGCATCTGAAAATAAGGGCCCTCTGAGGAAGTGGATCCTGTGGAGAAGGATCAATTCATTTTCTTCTAGTTTTAAGACTGAGTAAAGCAATCCAACAAAGTAGCAAGACAACTGCAAAGAGTTGCAGCCAATTCACCTTGGAATGACAGTCACACAGGAGCTGAGAGGACTGTTGCACAGGATCATCTGTTTGCTGAGGAGACCTATTGTCAAAAAAGGCTGTGCACCCCAATTGCTGAGGATAGATAAAAACCCCAGTGTTGCTTGCAGATTGGATCAGCCTTAGTTTTCCAGTATTTGTCCACAAAAGGATATGTTATACTGAACCTTCCCCTGACATCGTCTTTGCTTTCAATACAATCTTATATGAGTACTGGAGACCAATATTTTACAGAGGCAGCTGCCTAAAGCTCAGGAAAAACTGCTGAGAAGCAGAACGTCAGAATGTATTTCATGGAAGATTTCGGTTGTCAAAAGTCCTGAGACTGCGAACTTTCTCCAGGCTGGAGATTTGTACGGAGCTTGTACATATGATCTAAAGCTTGAGTAAGGAAAGCCCCAGTAGTGTTGATCTCCATTAGAGTCAGATTATCCAGCTTATAAGAGAGAAGGAACAAATGTTACAAAACAATAAGCACAAGATTTGTAAAAAAAATTACATAGTTATGTGGTCACATAAGGAATAACAGAATCTGGTTGTACCCCTCAATAGTTTCAGTAAGCATGTTTCTAGTTCACATACCGTATTTTTCGCTCTATAGGACACACCGGACGATAAGATGCACCTAGTTTGGGGGGGAGGGAACAAGAAGAAAAAAATTCTGAACCCCAGAAGCCAGAACAGCAAGAGGGATCTGGGATAGATATCCCAGACAGGCTTTTGAGATAGCCTCTTGCTGTTCTGGCTTCGGGGACAGCCTTTGAAGCCTCCGCAGAGCAGCGGGGTGAAGGCACCCTGCTGCCCTGTGGAGGCTTTGTGCAGCCATCCCCAAGCTAGAACAGCGAGACGGAGCGCTGCGCAGCACTCCGTCTCCCTGTTCTGACTTTGGGCTTAGCCGCGCAGCCTGCATTCACTCCATAAGATGCACACACATTTTCCCTTACTTTTTAGAAGGGAAAAAGTGCATCCTATAGAGCGAAAAATACGGTAATTGCAAGGCTAGGGCTTAGTGACATTTATGCATAATCTTCCAAAAACATGCAAGATTAGATTGTGTTTTTATCGACTAGGGGAAGAGATCCCCTAGTTTCATTTACCCCAAGGTAATCCTTTGACCCTTTAATTGTTGGACTCTCAGCTCCCATCATCCATGAAAATTGACACATTGCCTGGGGCTGATGGGAGGTAGAGTCCAGCAACATCTAGAGGGCCAAAGGTTCCCCATCCCTAATTTATCCATTTATTTCCTCCTAAATTCTCAGTCTTGAAAATTGTCCCCAAATATTTCAAACAGGACTACAGCAAAGATAGCCTACTAATCCAGTCCAGTTGTTGTGTTCCATATAGAATTTCTGCTCACAGAATTTGGGAGAAAGGGGTAGTAATGGGACACCAGCCACATGAAAAAATCCTGCAGTGCAGCCTTCCCCAACCTGGCTCCCTTGAGTTGTTTTAGGCTACAGCTACCATCAGACCTAGCCAGCCTGACAGACAAACAAACAAACAAACAAACAAACAAACAAACAGGGATGTGGTAAGAGTTGTAGTTGAAACATCAGGGTTGGGAAAGGCTGCTGTAGTATCTGAACTGTTTCACATATATACATGATATTTATACAGTATATGTCCCAACATCCTGATATGGAACCAAACTAGAAAATAGGGTGGTTTAAGGGATTAAGGGAGCACATCTACAAATGTGCACAAGTATTTCAAGAACAGACTTGCTTCATGCATCTGAGCAGCAAGATGCATTTGACTGGAACTCTCAGGTGCTGTACATAATGGCAAGATCAATGCATACCATCATTCAATAAGTAAGATTCAGTGCACAGTTGATTCATAACATTCAAAGCAAAATTGCAAACGTTCATGCAAAAGACTATACAATGCTTGCAAGTATAAATCAGTGTCAGAAGAGCAGCAATCAAAACACAAAAAAACAGACCTGCTGCCGCCATTTCTTGCTAACTAGGAAACCATTGCCACTTTCACAATCAATTTTAGATGACTCCCACAACGCACTGCTTGAACATGCACTACTCATATATTTTCATGTACTACACTACAAAACTTAGCAACTCATCACAGATTCCTCTTACCCTGGCATGAGCTTCCTGCTGTCTAACAAAGCTATCAGCAGACAACCGGAGTTTTGCAATTCGAGTATCCCAGATATCCTTAACCAATGTTCGGATCTCATCTGCCCTTGGAATATTGTCCACAGCACTAATGGAGAAGGGAAAGTTATCCGAATGGGTGAAGAACTGTACTTCAGTGGTAGAGCATCTGCTTTGCATGCAAATGGTCCCAGATTCAATCCCTGGCACCTCTAGATATTTTATAAGTATTTCAAAACTTCCTTCCACTATACCATCACAACATATTAAAACAGCACTACATATTCTAAAACTAATTAAAGCATATATATTGTCCACTAGCATCTTAAGAGACCAACTAAGTTTGTTCTGGGTATAAGCTTTCGTGTGCATGCACACTTCTTCAGATACCTGTGTGTGCATGCACACAAAAGTTTATACCCAGAACAAACTTAGTTGGTCTCTAAGGTGCTACTGGACAATTTTTTATTTATTTTCTATATATTTTGACTGCGTCAGACCAACACTGCTACCTACCTGAATCTAAAACATTAATGTGAAATAAGCAAAATAAGAAAGCCACTGCCAATCGGTGCAGAAATACTGAGCTAAATGGACCAGTGGCCTGACTCTTTAAAAGGTAAGCTTTCTACATTCCTAGAATAGGCTACAAAAGAACAATTGTCACTTTGTATGCTCATTTCATAAATTGCTGGACATAAGCAATATTCATCAGGTTCTAAAGCAGTTGTTATTTTGCCCATATCTGAAGCTACAAAACACTGGATGAGCTGAATTCTACATTATTGCAAATGAGAATATTGAACTCTGTGTCAACCTAGTTTTGAAGCTAAAGGTTGCAGGAGATATACTGCCATTACAACAAAAGTTAAGCACCATACTAATAGATGCAAACATCTGCATTTGATAAGCACTCTGGACAATGTTCATTTAATGTTCCCTTCTGGCTGTCATTCTCTCATATATAAAATTCATCATCATCTAGATGAAATCTAATGTGACCCTAAATGGTTTGTTCACTAAATGGTTTGTTCATATTAGAACTGTCAACTAGAAACCTTGCCAGTCAGGATTCCTTGGAATGATTTGGCTTTTAACTGTAAGCTACCCTGAGCTAGGCAAATACATTGGAATATCAGGATTCATTTTCTAAATCAATCAAAAAACACTCACTAGTTCAGCAACAACTTTGTTAATTCCATGTAGAATGGGCTAGGCATTGGAGTGAAAGTATCTTCCTTGCGCTCCTGATCCCGAATTTGCTCCAGTTTTTCTAGAAAGTGATCAAAAAGAGATATGGTATACAAAGAACTAGATGCTGTAATTTCCTGCTTCCAGCAGAAATACCGTATTTTTCGCTCTATAACACGCACCTGACCATAACACGCACATCGTTTTTAGAGGAGGAAAACAAGGGAAAAAACATTCTGAATGAAACAGTGGATGTATCATTTTTGTGCTTCATGCTGTGGCCACAGACATGTGATCTGATGGTGAATTTGGGGTGACCCAATGCAAAGATCCTGAGAATCCCTGTGGATCCATGCTTTGTAACCACATTTTTGCACCATTGCAGCCCCAGGCAACAGTGGGTGCGTGCTTTTTTTGGTGCAGGCTGTAGCCATGGACATGCTATGTGATCTGATGGTGAATTTGGGGTGACCCAATGCAAAGATCCTGAGGATCCATGTGGATCCGTGCTTTTTAACCATGTTTTTGCACCATTGCAGCCCCAGGCAACAGTGGGTGCGTGATTTTTTTGGTGCAGGCTGTAGCCATGGACATGCTATGTGATCTGATGGTGAATTTGGGGTGACCCAATGCAAAGATCCTGAGGATCCATGTGGATCCATGCTTTGTAACCACGTTTTTGCACCATTGCAGCCCCAGGCAACAGTGGGTGCGTGATTTTTTTGGTGCAGGCTGTAGCCATGGACATGCTATGTGATCTGATGGTGAATTTGGGGTGACCCAATGCAAAGATCCTGAGGATCCATATGGATCCATGCTTTTTAACCACGTTTTTGCACCATTGCAGCCCCAGGCAACAGTGGGTGCGTGATTTTTTTGGTGCAGGCTGTAGCCATGGACATGCTATGTGATCTGATGGTGAATTTGGGGTGACCCAATGCAAAGATCCTGAGGATCCATGTGGATCCATGCTTTGTAACCATGTTTTTGCATCATTGCAGCCCCAGGCAACAGTGGGTGCGTGATTTTTTTGGTGCAGGCTGTAGCCATGGACATGCTATGTGATCTGATGGTGAATTTGGGGTGACCCAATGCAAAGATCCTGAGGATCCATGTGGATCCATGCTTTTTAACCACGTTTTTGCACCATTGCAGCCCCAGGCAACAGTGGGTGCGTGATTTTTTTGGTGCAGGCTGTAGCCATGGACATGCTATGTGATCTGATGGTGAATTTGGGGTGACCCAATGCAAAGATCCTGAGGATCCATATGGATCCATGCTTTTTAACCACGTTTTTGCACCATTGCAGCCCCAGGCAACAGTGGGTGCGTGATTTTTTTGGTGCAGGCTGTAGCCATGGACATGCTATGTGATCTGATGGTGAATTTGGGGTGACCCAATGCAAAGATCCTGAGGATCCATGTTGATCTATGCTTTGTAACCACATTTTAAGTGGGGAGCGAAGGAAAAACAAAGAAGGGACATGAGAGGGGTGTGCAGAGAAGCAGCTGGCTAAGAATGCTGGAGAGGGATTTGGGGTGGGAGGAAAGAAAGGCAAAAGTTCACCCCCAAGCCAGCCATCTCTCTCTCTCTCTCTCTCTCTCTCCCTCCCTCCCTCCCCCCCTCTCTCTCCCTCCCCCCCCTCCCTCTCCCTCCCCCCCTCTCCCTCTCCCTCCCCCACTCTCTCTCCCTCTCCCCCAGCAGCACCGGAGCACAGAGAGGAATTAGAAAGAACTACACTCTGCTTGCCTGGAGGGGAGGGGCTTTCCCTGCTCTTTGTTCCGTTTCAGCAATCACAGCAACGAAACAGAGAAGGGTGGGCAGTAAGACCCTGAGGCAGAATGCAGGAAAGCTGCCACTTCCTCTTTTCAGGTTTCCCTTCTCCGTGACTCGTGGTTTGACTTTTGCTTGATTTTTTGGCTCCAGGGACCACACATTCGCTCTATAACACGCACAGACATTTCCCCTTCCTTTTTAGGAGAAAAAATCTGCGTGTTATAGAGCGAAAAATACGGTAAATCTTGCAGGAACAACCACTTCATCAATACACTGCATACAGAGGAGACAGCATTCCCATGGAGGAGCTTCAGCAATGAAAAGTTATTAACAGGGATCTGTTAGTCTAGCTAGCATGCTGTCATGTTCGGTAACAGTACTACTAGGGCTCCTAAAGAAATCAGCACCTCTATTGTGAAGACATTCTCCATCAAGACTCAAAAAGCCTGGTGTGATAATAGCACAAGTCGGCAAGTTAGGTAGAGTTGTGCTTAACATGAATGAGCAATCATCTCACTACTATAGACCTTTGTGAACAAACATAATGATTTGCCATGAAAACACATATTTGAAATCAAAGTTAAAGCACACTAATATAATCATACAGTGGTGCCTCGCAAGACGAAAACAATCCGTTCCACGATTCTTTTCTTCTAGCGGTTTTTTCGTCTTGCGAAGCAACCCCATTGGCGGCTAAGCGGATTAGCGCTATTAGCGATTTAGCGCTATTAGCGGCTTAGCGGGTAAGCTGTTAAAAGGCTATTAACAGCTTAGCCGCTTTGAAAAAGGGGGGAAGAGGGGGGGAAATGGCGAGACTCGCAAGACGTTTTCGTCTTGCGAAGCAAGTCCATAGGGAACTTCGTCTTGCGAAGCACCTCCGCGACGGAAAACCCTTTCGTCTAGCGGGTTTTCCGTCTTGCGAGGCATTCGTCTTGCGGGGCACCACTGTAATTCTTGATGTCTTAGAATTCACTTGTTAAACTTATTTTTTATATTGTTGTAAACAGTTGATATATTTTTGATACAACAGTGTGTGTGTGTGTGTGTGTGTGTGTGTAAGTGTGTAATATATATGTATGTGTGTGTGTGTGTGCGCGCACGCGCCTATATCACATATTGCTGAAAATAGTATAGCTTTCTATTTTTGAAAAAAGTATGTTATTTTGAAAACATTAATAAGAAGTTAAAAACTTTAGAAACTGTAACGTTCAATCAGAATTTTTAAAACCTATGCTGAGATGCTGCAATAAATGTGGATGGATAGCCAGGTAAACAAATTTTAAAAGCAATTAAAGATATTCTAGCAATTGAGAAACAATAACTTCAACTCAAGCAGCAAAAATCCAACTCCTATGAGAGGCCACTCAGTTAATAACTTACTTGCAGGTGATAGTTCTTACCTACATCCATCCATTCTGGAGGTACAAGTCGACACTTCTGTCTTTGCTTTAGGTTGATAGCCAGCCAGAGAGGCACATCCACAGGCAGCCCAGGATTAAAGGGACCCAAGTCCCCCTAAGTGAGACATACACAATGAGGTGCATAAGAAGCTGTCTTGTATAACTGTATCTAGCTCAAGGACTTGGCACTGCATGGGAGAAACTATCCACTTTTTCATACATGAGTTTTTGCCAGCCCTGCCTAGAGATGCTTAGGAATAACACCTTAAACCTTTTGAATACAAGAAGAGGAGTTTGGATTTGATATCCTGCTTTATCACTACCCTAAGGGGACGCGGGTGGCGCTGTGGGTTAAACCACTGAGCCTAGGACTTGCTGATCGGAAGGTCGGCGGTTCGAATCCCTGCGACGGGGTGAGCTCCCGTTGCTCGGTCCCTGCTCCTGCCAACCTAGCAGTTCAAAAGCACGTCAAAGTGCAAGTAGACAAATAGGTACCGCTCCAGCAGGAAGATAAACGGCGTTTACGTGCGCTGCTCTGGTTCGCCAGAAGCAGCTTAGTCATGCTGGCCACATGACCCGGAAGCTGTACGCCGGCTCCCTCGGCCAGTAAAGCGAGATGAGCGCTTCAACTCCAGAGTCGGCCACGACGGTCAGTGGTCCCTTTACCTTTTACCTTTAAGGAGTCTCAAAGCGGCTAACATTCTCCTTTCCCTTCCTCCCCCACAACAAACACTCTGTGAGGTGAGTGGGGCTGAGAGACTTCAGAGAAGTGTGCCTGGCCAAAGGTCACCCAGCAGCTGCATGTGGAGGAGTGGAGACGCGAACCCAGTTCCCCAGATTGCAAGACTACTGCTCTTAACCACTACACCACACCATACAAAGCATGTATACCACCACAAGGAAAAGTCAAAAGTCCTTTTTTTTTTTGCAATTCTGATCTCTTTAACTGCTTGTTAAGCTTCATTTCTGGGGAGAAGTGACTAAGCTGAATTTTCAGGGAATAATTCAAAGCTATATTATAATTAAGCTGGTCAATGGTCCATATAGCACAGCACTGTCTACTGCAGGAGTAGCCAATGTGTTTCCATTCAGATACAGCTATATTCTCAATGACCACAAATAGGTTATTCCCTCATTTCATCTGAGATGTTTATTCTTTAATATATTCAAAAGACATGACCATGTATGGAGGACTGCAGGAGAAACGGGAGTCAGGCAAAGTCATTATCAACCTGCTCCCTGTCTCCCCTACAATACAATAAAGTGTCTTGTGGGAAATATCCTGATGGTTTCAAAATGTTGATATTGCTTGCTGTTTTTTAAAGTTGTTTAATAATTTATTTAAAGCCACCTTCAAAGGATTTGTATCCTAAAATAACTGCAACACTACTGTAGCAAAAGAGATTATGTTTTGCAACACCCAAGTACAGTCATGGGGAAAAGAAAGTACACCCTCTTTGAATTCTGTGGTTTTACATGTCAGGGCAAAATAACAATCACCTGTTCCTTAGCAGATCTTAAAATTAGGTAACTAAAACCTCAGATGAACAACAAAACATATTGCACCGTGTCATTATTTATTTAACAAAAATAAAGTTAAAATGGAGAAGACGTGTGGAAAACTAGGTACACCCTTACTGCTTCCATAGGAATTAATATGATTTGAATAAAGTTGATTCTTGCTCAATGACAATGTACTGATAATTTCAAATCCTTCATTTTTTAAGCGTTTTGTTTCGATAAGGTGCTAGGAGTCGTGCGTTTTTTCATTGCTTCTTCCCTCTTTTCAAGAGCTGCCTGCGTTATTCAAAGGCGAGGCATAAGCAGTAATATAAGTAACTACTATTGGGTGTGCTTTTCCCCTGCCATTTTTTTCGTTCGAGGTACTTATTAGCGGAATATATAGCACAACTACACCGTGAATAAAACATTACTATTAATTAACCGCAAGCCCCCGCCCTCCGCTCCATGATTTCGTCTTTTAAACGCTGATCTCCCACCCCACGCCGTCCGCCCCACTTCTTTCTTATCCCCTTTGCTTCCATCCCATAATGTTCTCTTCCTCACACTTTGACCTCGGTCGGCATTTCATGACTACCCGCCTCCGACGTCCCGCCAGCCGGGCTCCCTCCGCCGCCGACCCACCCCAATGAGGTAAATCCGGTCCATGCTGAAGTTGGGTATGATGGTGACCAGCTCCTGCTCGGCCAGGAACTCGGCCTCGGCGGGATCCATCGGAAGACGAAAAGAGGCGACCTAGCAGAAGCTAGGCCTCACACCGCCCCGGGAGCACCGTGAGGGGAGGCGGCGGAAGAAGCAAAAAGCGCGCCGTCTCAGCGCTCGCGACCACGAGACGCTGAGGTGACTACGCCTCTCATTGGTTGAGGGGGAGAAACAAGCCCCACCCACTACGCCCTCTCCGTTATTATAGGTAAGTCTCTCTCGCGCGCAAAATTTCCTCTCCCCGTCTGAGGTAGTAGAGCCTGCGATTGGCCAGAGAGCAAAAGCAAGGCCCCGCCTACCGCTTACGGTATGAAAAGTCTCTGCCTCTTTTTTCGCGCGCTCATTCGCGCCCTGAGTTAAAGGAGTCCCTCATTGGTTGGTGTGGGAAAATAACCCCGCCCGCTACCCTTTCTTCGTCATTTGAAAGGTTCTCGCGCGCACAATCCTCCCTTCTTGTCGCCGCCCCGCCCCCCCCGGTAGTGGCGCATGTCATTCAGGCAACACAAGAGCGCCGCCCGCCTACTCCCTACGATAGGAAAGTCCTTTTCGCTCTCATTCCCTGCATGAGGTATCAGCCCTGGAACTGATTGGCTACCAAGAGCAAGCCCCGTTCACTCCCAGCTGTTCCTTCCTATGAAAAGTGCTGGATATTCCACCCCCTCACTCACACGCCACAAGGCTGGGGCGTTTAGTTGGTGCCTATTATGTACTAGAATAGGCAGGTAGGATCCTAGAATGCAACAACCTGATTGGCCTGCAGGAGCCAGTCGGGCTCCAGGAGGGAAGCAGAATCAGACGGGACTCGTGTAAATAATGTACAGTGGTACCTCGGGTTACATACGCTTCAGGTTACAGACGCTTCAGGTTACAGACTCCACTAACCCAGAAATATTACCTCGGGTTAAGAACTTTGCTTCAGGATGAGAACAGAAATTGTGCTCCGGCAGTGCGGCATTAGCTAAAGTGGTGCTTCAGGTTAAGAACAGACCTCCGGAACGAATTAAGTATGTAACCAGAGGTACCACTGTATATAAAGCCTGAGGTTTGGGGGGAAATTCATTCACTGTTTTATGAGCTGTAATAAAGAGCATGAAATCACTACGCGACTCTGAGTATATTTCACTGGCGGTGAAGGTAGGATCCTGCTGAGCTGTCCGCTGTGTACTGCACTGCAGCCACCACTGGCAACATTGCTGCATTGCACCATGCATCCAGGCTACAGCTCTGGGACCCAAGGACCCAGAATTGCAACAGACAACAACTTCACGCTGTTCAACCCAGCCTCAGGAGACTGGGGAGGATACGCCACCCGTTTCCAGTTCCTCCTGGAGGCAAAGGATATCAACAATGCAGCCAAGAAGAGGGCAACATTCTTCAGAGTCTGCGGAGAAGAAATGTTCGAGATCACCCGAGTCCTCCTCGCACCCGCAAATATCTGTTCCCTACAAAACCATAATGGAACGGCTGAAAGGGCACTTCTCGCCACTTCTCACTACCTAGGTGGTAGCGTGTTGCAACGCCTTCTATTCAAAAGCGGCAGACCCCTGGAGAAACCATAACCAGGTATGTGACCTCCCTCCGCCGGGTTGCCCTGCTCTGCAGCTTCACAGAACTGGAGAACATGCTCCGCGACCTCCTTGAGGCGGACTGAGGGATGAGAAGCTGCAGTGGTGCCTCTATGACAAGAAGGACCTGATGTTCCAGGTCGCCCCAGAGGAGGCCCTGGCAATTGAAGCCGCCGAGAGGTCAGTGCAAGGATTCCGGTCGAACTCATCGTCCCAACCGAGGGTCCACCACGAGGACCTCACCGACAACTGAGAATATGACCAGGAGGATGTGCACTGAGTGCAGCAGCACACACAAGCTGCACGCCCACCACAACAGCCTCGGCCGGAATAGGAGAACTGCACAAGCTGCAGGGAGAGCCACAAGCGAAGGACTTGCCTTTTCTGCAACGCAGAATGCTGTCAATGCAGAAAAGTGGGACACATTGCCCAGGCAGCTATTGGCTGGAGGTTTTAGTTTGCTTTCCCCCACCCCCACACTATATTGGGGTTTTCCAGTTTGTGGTCTCTGGCTCATGTCCTTGGGTCCTTCGTGTCTTACTGGCTTGTTTCACATCAATCAGGATCTGATAGCAAAGCCTGAGCGTGATTTGGTCCTTTAAAGCGGAGGCGAAACCTGTGGACTACAATTCCCATCATTCTTAACTATTGACTGTGGCTGGTAATGCTGGGAACGTCTCTTGCCTGACTGTCTCTCCAGCTTGCTGCTTTACTTCTGGATCACGTCACTGCAGTGCAACTGAACTCCAAACTCTGGCTTCATCCTTCTAACCAGGAGCTGGATGAGGAGGTCTACCCATATGCAATCTCACACATGACCCCTTTTCTTTGTTTCTTTAATGGCCCATCATGGGCTATAGCCTCAACACAGGAAGCTACGGTATCCTGGCTTATATTTAGCACTTGCTTGGTCCAGGGGATAGTAGGATCTCACATGCAACCTTCTTCCTCCCCTGCTGCCCAACTCATAACATTATGTTCTAGTTTCACATTGCAGGGCAAGATTGGTAACCACTGGACAAAGCATATTCCATGGGAGCTTCTTCATTTCTTGTTTCTTGCGATATTTGCTGGAAAATATGATTAATCTCATCTGCATGCCATTGCTTTTTTTGCTTTATTTAAGATTTCTATTTGTTAAATAAAGTGTTTGAAAATCATTTCATTGACATCTTGTTATTGAGGAACCCCTGAATTCCTCAGAGCACACACTTACCAGATGACAGGTGACAGATAGGGATCTGGCAGGAAAGAAACTAAAAGCACAACTTTGCAATTTAAAAGCACCGTTCCTGTGTCTTTACACACATTTTGCAAGATTCATTTCCCACATGATGTAGTGCTCTCCTCCAACTGGGGTGACTTTAAAAGAGACTATTTTTAATTTCACTTACGAAACTCTTCTTATGAAGCATCTTGAATTGATTTCACAATACAATAAAGACAATATGGTGCAATTGCATATATAAAAACAAGTACAATACATATATTGACTAGAACAAATTCATGGGGGATAAATGTATCGTGATGGCTATGTCCACTGTAGGAGGTGATAACCACTGAATACCAGTTGCTAGGAATCACAATCAAAGAGAGCGCTGTTGCACTCAGGTCCGGTTTGCAGGTTTCTCATTGGCATCCGGCTGGCCACTGTGAGAACTGGATGCTGGACTTGATGGGCCACTGGCCTGGTCCAGGAGGGCTTATATTCTGTCACTGGGTGGGGTTCAGGAGGCGGTGGCAGTGTGTGACAGGGCATTTTCTGTGGTGGCTCTCAAGTTGGCAAGGGTGGAAATTGCTGCATGGCTGCACCTACTGTGTGCAGTCCCCATTACACTTGTCCATCAAAGTTCTGTTCTTACAATGGCAGGGGCTTGTGCTGGTCACAGGAAAGCACACTGAAAAGCCTACATCTGGTAAGACCAAGCTTGCAGCAACTCAATGATGAGCATCCACTGTTATGCACAAGATTCAACTTCCTTCTGATGGAAAACAGCACTTCAGATGCAGAAAAAAGCTGCATCTTATAGATGGGTGGCTGCCAGCACTTGTGACAGGCTTGTCTCAGGCAGAGCACCACTGTGCACTCCGTTTTCATGTGCAAAGTGCATGCACCAATGGGTGTTAAAATTAATTCACTCGCTAAGTAAACTTCCATATGTTTTCCCTGAAAACAACAACCAGGAATTGTTGAAGGGATAAATAACGACACAACAATCTTTAGGCACTCTTCAGAGACATATTAATGTCCAAAGTTCTGAGTCAAGGAGGGAAAGGGGGGAAAGGGTGGCTTTCACTGAAGAGTGATTTAGAGCATTGTCAACTGAGCAGTTAGACTGTCGCCATGGAAACTGAAAGCCTTCCAACAATATTAGCTGTGACAGGTCTATTTAATAGCTCATCCATGCAATCCTCTTCAAAATACTGCTTTATTCTTCTGCCTTTATATCTCTGCTGTAGCGCAAACCTTGATGCAACAGGGAGTGAATTAAGAAGGATCGGGGTCTGGGGTAATAGTCACTGCCTCCTAAATAATACTTTTGAGGGGGTGGGAGGTATTCCCTCTTATCACCTTAGATCTTATCATTTCATCTTAATAAAGATTATAAGTGATTATGATTGGAGAGTTGGGAAGGTAACTATAATCTTCCTTCCATTCCTGAGACTGAAATGTCTTGTCATGTCTGGATCAGCCCTTCAGGTGTCTATTCAGTCCCTTCCCCACAAGCCTCTAAAAGAAGAAAATTTCATCATCTTGGTTAAAGTGGATAAGGTCTCCATTCAACCCGTTAAAAAAACCAAAAACGTCTATACATCCATCCATCATTTTATTTGTATGCCACCTTTCCATAGTTAAAACCATGCTCAAAGTGGTTGACTTACAACATGAGAAAATATGTAATTACAAGCATAAAAAAGGTTGATGTTGGCTTCTGTCTGTCTTGAGAGAAAGTGGAGTGTGCTTCTGGGGGTGACGTCAAAGAGCTGCGTTAGCAGCACCGAAATGCCCCTTTGGTTTCAGATAGTATATGGGTAAGGTAAAGGTAAAGGGACCCCTGACCGTTAGGTCCAGGCGCAGATGACTCTGGGGTTGCGGCACTCATCTCGCTTTACAGGCCGAGGGAGCTGGCGTACAACCTCCAGGTCATATGGCCAGCATAACTAAGCCGCTTCTGGCAATCCAGAGCAGCGCACGGAAATGCCATTTACCTTCCTGCCAGAGTGGTACCTATTTATCTACTTGTACTTTGACGTGCTTTCGAACTGCAAGTTGGCAGGAGCAGGGACCGAGCAATGGGAGCTCAGCCCATCGCAGGGATTCAAACTGCCGACCTTCTGATCAGCAAGCCCTAGGCTCTGTGGTTTAACCCACAGCGCCACCCGCGTCCCACTAGTATATGGGTAGATGAGTCTAAAAAGGAGACTTAGTTTGGTCAGAATTGAGTATATACTTCTAGAGTTAAGGCTAAATACATTGTTTCTGGCAAATGAGCCACCAGCGCTACTAGAGGGCTATGAAAATTTGTGTCCTGGGCTTTTTAGACTCATCTACCCATGTAGTATCTGAAACCCTAGGGGCACATTGGTTGCCAGATGT